TCGCGACCCTTCCACCAACCAACCACATCCACCATCCTCCGAGACTTCACAACACCACTCCCCAGATGATCAGCCAACAGCTCCTAGAGTATGCAGCCATCTTGAGGATCACACCCCTTCCGAATCACACCCTACCCTATCAGGGGGGATGCCTTTGTTCTCACCTTGAACACAGGACACGCCTCTATCCTAAAACAAACCATCAACCTACTACATCCACTCTACAAAACACTCCAACACCAACAGATTCCCTCCTGGCCCTGGCACAGCCCACTTCCAGTGCCCCTTATCCTCCTTCTATTGACTAACAACCCCTCGAACAGCCACAACACTTCAGCAGCCACTGTGCCTCCCTCTTGGGAAACACACACTGCCAGTGTGTCATTTGACCCATCTTCTGCCTGCTTGTTGGCCTCTATCTAACAATTTTGTGCTTGGATGGTTACACCCTGCTCTGGTCCAGCTGAGGAGTACCACCTCCTACGGCTCTGCTGGCATCTTGCCTTGCATGCCAAGGCCCTTGCCACAGCTTGGGACCTGATCACCCAGACACACTTACTGCGAGCACTCTTTGGTCTGGCAATCTAACTGGTCCTCACGGTCCCTATGGTGATAATGGTTTCAATACCGACAAAAATCCTGTGTAAGCCCCTGTAACCCAGGTTTTGCGCTGCAGGTTCCCTATCAATGTGCTCACCCCCCTTCCCAGGGCATCTGTCTACTTGGTGCTGGCTCCACGTTGGGCCAGTGGATGAGGTCATGTTGATTGGGCAAATAAGTAGATGACGACTCAGCTAGGTGGGGGCTTCCCCACCCATTGCCCGCGTCACAAAAGCCACTCCGTGGCCATAGTTTGTTAAACTAACGAGTATTTTACACCCCTCAATACTGGACCTCCCAATATTATTCGCAAACCATTCCCAGTTCCAATGCAACCAAATACGTCATCTCCCGTTCCACCTGTTCCACGAACCACGTCGGCCAAAGTGTCACCTGCGAATAGTCAGAATGATGACACTCCACATGGTATGAAGAAAGCTGCCGAACTTGCTCACGATCCTATTACCGAATACCCCAGTACCGACGAAGAGCGGGAAACAGAGGAAAAAGAAGACACCAAGCTCCCAGCGGAAGCGAGCCAACCCTCCACTTAACACATACTATCACACAAAACTTTTACAACCTCACATAAACCACGTTGACTTCAAAATTGCAAAACCTAAACCCTAAATATAAGCCACATGATTCATTCGATTCTATTCACCATTATCCTGTATTAGTAGACAAGTTAAACTAGTACTGGAAACGGAGACGACCCAGAGGGCATATGAATGTTGGATCTTATGAATGGATTCAGACTGGACAACTGGATTTGGGGCCCCGCAAAGATACCGGTACCAAGATACAGAATAATAGCGTCACGGATTTGATTCCCGAACTTAGGGCGGGCACAGAAACATCAAGGCCCTCTGAAATAATAAGAATGACTGTTTGCTCTCTCTGTCCCATGCAGATTAGTATAAAATGTTGCTCCTACCACTCCAGTTGGGTCAAGTCTACCATGCACGTCTGCGGAACCAGTCGTGCCCGAATGAATGATCAGCTTCTATAATGTGTCTGGTCCATCACATTGCCATAATCTAAGGGATATCACGCGAACACCAGAGGACTTGCTTCTTGGCGTTCTCCTGCCGCCATGGACGCAACCGCAACCGCCGCCACCACCACTGCCCTTGATATGGCCGGGTTCGAGGAACTCGACAGAACAGTTGCCGAACAGCTACAACGAGAAGAAGACCTGGAACGAGAAGCTCTTGACGACGCCATGGCTCAAGCCTTTCAGCACCGGGGAGATGAAGACAAACAAAGCAAGGCAATGGACTGGCAAGGAGAGGGCGAATTGGCCTTCCTGCAACAGCTCCAGTGGGAAGAGGAGCTAGAATCTCTCGACACTTTTTTCCTCGACGAAGAAGAAGAAGATCAAAAGAAAGCCAGCATTGAACAGGAAGAGTGTGACAGGGCCGTTGCGAGACAGCTCCAAAGAGATGAACAGGAAGAAGATTGCGACATGGCTGTTGCAAGACAGCTCCAAAGAGATGAACAGGAAGAGCAAATGATTCTGGATATGGTCGTTGCTCAGGAGTTTCAACGAGCCGAAGAAGAACAGGGCAACAAGAATCACTCACTAAACCATCCTTCCAAACAAGAAGTATTTGACTTGCTGGTACCCAGTCAAAAGAATGCCATTGACTATGTCAAAAGGAAGGCCAAGGATATGCACAACAAATCCCTGCCTAAACTACAATCTCGCTTCATCAACTTGGGTTTCACACCAGAGGATCTACAGCAGTGTCTGGACTACATCCAAGATGATGCCACCATCGTAATTCACCTGAGGGAATCCACTCTGTCTCTTTTGGTAAAGGACACTCACTACCGAAACCTCTTTGAGACCAACACTTCTGGAGGGACCAGGGACAAGAGCGCTAGAGGAGGATGGGAGAGTCACATGTTTGGGGGGTGCTACAACTCATCAGCATGCTTTGACAGACCTAAGTACGGCTGTCTCAATGTCTCTGGTGATGTCCGAGGTGTCCGAAGTGCTCGCTCGTATGGCAACATTTTCATGATTCTTCAACCAAATGTTCGGTACCGCTCTACCTTCTTCAGCAAGGACACTGGAGCCTTTGTGACCAGTGCGACTCTTGCAACTCATGAGTTTTATGCTCATGTTCTGGATGGATACAGTAGTAAGCAACGCAGGAGCAAAAAGTTTACTGGAGTTTTGAGTATCCCTCTGTCCGTCTCATACATGTTTCTTTGTTGGTCTCTGTATTCGCCCCAGATGATGATCTGTCTTCTATGATCAATGTGTGCAAGTCGGCACGAGCCGGTGGCATTGAATCCAATTGCAGGTCTTACAAGGAGGTACAAATCCATGGGCCTGTTTGTCTAGCCACAGACATTCAGGCATTGTCTGTGCCGGGTCGGTACCAGACCGCCAGTGAGGTCCTCAAGAAGGATGTGTTGGAGTTTCAGAAAAAAGCAAACTGCAATATTCTCTGGCAGGATGATCTGCTGAATCCTGAAGCAGACTGAATGATATGTGCACTCGCAGATGCACTAGGATTTGCTAGAGTCGTTCAACCCGGCCTGGTTACTTGAGCTGGTCGTTCACAGCCACTTTCTACCAGGTGTCTCAAATCGCTAAAGATGGTAGAGACGAGGTTACCGTTACGCTATCCAGCCAGCCACTGGGTGGCACAACGAATATGCAGCAAGTAAGCTAGCTAGCAGCACTCCATCTGGCTGCAGTCGGCAATCAGCTCCAGGGAACCACTGTTGTTTCTGGAGCACAACACCATTGGAATGATGCCAGTGGTGGATGTCCCAGAGATATCCAACCGACTCAAATTCTTCAAATCACGAAGCTCTTCTGGAAGAGTCCCATTCAAAGCCATATTGTTGGAAACATCCAAGTCAACAAGGGAAGATAGCAGCCCGAGCTCTGTGGGAAGTGTTCCTTCCAGAGCTAGATTGTCTGAAATATCCAAGCCAGTCAGCGCAGGAAGCAAACCAAGCTCTGTGGGTATGGTCCCCATGCAAAGATTGTCACCAATTCCCAAGTATATCAGGTTTGGTGTCAGCTGTACTTCTGTTGGCAGTGTGCTCGCAATAACATTTTTAGTCATGTTCAAAACTTCCAAATTTGGAAACACCCGTAATAGTCCCATGTTTTTGAATTCAATGTTGTTGGAATCGATCCGGATGACTTTTCTGTATTCTCCAATGAGGCCAGAGTCAGCCACAACAGGAAATGGACTCAGGCTGTTATTGGAGAGAATGAACTGTTCAAAGTGATTGTTGTCCACAAGCTGAGGTAGATAACCAGAGATATTGTTGTGGGAGTAGTCAACAATCTTTGTGGATGGGATCTGAATCTCTGATGGCAGCGTGCCCCCTAAATTGTTGTATTTGTAATCTTGAATAATAAGTCGTCCCTCTACATCACAGGGTGTTGGACTTTGTGAAAACCACTCACACTCTGGCGCGCTATAGGACAACCAATGATCGTTCTGAAGCCAGTTGTCACCGTCTGTGGAGTAGTAAATAACAGCCATGGCAAACCTTTGGTGTTGGCGCCAACTTGGATATGACTGGAAGAGTGGGTCTTCCCACATCCAATTGTTTGCTTTCCACCTTGGACTCCCAGGATTGTCGAGGATGTCAGTGAATGTACTGTGATGAAGTGTGCTGCTGTTGTCAAAGGGTGGGTATGTGGCAGTGATGCTTTCCTGGTCTAAAGGAATCTCTTGTTGATTTTGTTCTTGTGTGGAGGCTTCATGAGTCTCTTTGCTATCATCTTGTGAAAGGGTTGGTATCAGCACAATTGCCAGCACTACCCCCAAAAATGGCAAGAGAATTATGGTGAAGACTCCCACCTTCGATCTCCCTTCTGGGGGTCTAGGAGGAAGTGGTTTGACATTGGTTGCCTCTTCGAGATCTTCGAGTACTTGACTGCGATGATGAACACTGGCATCCTCATAGTCTTCATCATCCACCACACTCGCCTCAATGGGGTATTCGTCGTTGTTAATTACATTGGCAATAATGATTTCCAACGATTCCTGCACTTCCGTGGGTTGGCGCACGTTCTGTTCAATATTATTTTCTTCGAAAACACCACCAAGAAACCCATCACCTCTCGCTGAAACGCCAGCTACAGGAAAGGCACCTGGTTTGGCGGCTGACATGGAAATGTTGGCAGCACTTCGCAATTCAGGAGGACCAGGGATTGGTTCTTGGCGACAGGGCAGCAATCCGTCGATGTTATCAGCGGCAGTCTTGTCGGCTGCTTTCTCAGCCTTGTCTGCATAAAGAGACTCCTCATAGAGGCGGACCGACTCTTTCTTTGTTATAGTGGCTTCGTCTTCACTTGAATTGTTGTCTGCAGCCATCCAAATCTGCTTTTCCGATAGATTCGCCTCGGCCCTTAGAATTGGCAAGGGCACATTCTCAGATCTGTTGGACTGGGTTGCTGCCGGTGGTAATGAAGCCACATCGGACCTACCACTAGGAGTTGCAGGGAGTGAAGCCGCTGGAGGGTCTTTCATGGTCGAGGGTGCGGTGGTGGAGGACTCGCTCATCTTGAGCTTGCGCAAGAAAACCTTGTCTTTTGTGTGCGTGAAAGGCGGTGTGGGGTGGCCTAGCTACGGTAGTAGCTACCGGTAGCGGGCATGTGGATCGTGAATGAGCTCTCTCTGCATGCGATGGTTTGTCACGGAGAGGTTCCTATGGGTTAGACGAGACGATGGGAAAGGTGGGAATGAATGAACGAATGAACTCTAGCTAGAGAGGATGGGTTCAAGGTGGGAGCATTGAAACCGGTGGGCCTTCCAGAAGGCTTTGGAAGCTACTGGACCGTCCGACGGTTTTCACACAGGATTTAAAAAAACTTGAAATTGCCACGACTGAATGACCGTTTAAAACAATCCCTTAAACAATCCCTTAACTCATCAACTATCCCTTAAACAATCCCTTAAGGAAACAATCCCTTAAAACAATCCCTTAAATCTTGGACTATCCCCTAAACAATCCCTTAACGCCAAATGGTCATACCATACAACTATCCCCTATTTCTTCAACTATCCCCTAAACAATCCCTTAAATAAACAATCCCTTAACAACAATCCCTTAAATCTTTGACTATCCCTTAAACAATCCCTTAAAAGAAACAATCCCTTAATTGTGCTGGTCAAGTTTTTGTCAGTCGTGGAAGCTTTTTAAATCCTGAGTGAAAACCGTCGGACGGTCCTGTATTAAAAGTACTCGTACCGCAACAACAAGACGCCTACCCATGCTACAACTCAAGTAGTGACAGCATCTGCAATAGCGGAAGCAGCTGGTTAGTTGGTCCATCACCGGTACCGGTAGCTTTTCTAAAGGTCTTAAAAGCTATGCCGAAGAGTCATAGCTGTGACCTGGGACGCTCGCCAGTCGTGTGGAGCTATGCCCGTGGTGAACAGGGCTTAGCCCCACCATGGCATTCCTAAATGCAGTGTCGATTCACCTTTTACTTGCATTTAAGATACTGTACTAAAATTCCTAGTGCAAAGATAGATAGTTGCGGTGGATAATGGAGAGCTGCATGCAATGGCACGGAGACGCCCTTGATAATATTGAGAGTATCGTACGTACCATGCTTGAACTACCGCACCGTAGCCAGAATATCTTTATGTCAAGGCGGCGGGAGGGAGTTTGCAAGCCGAGAGTACGTAGTCTGATACCTGTTCAAAGTAATCATCAAATGAATGAATCTTTTCTACCAACTTTGACGCTCTTCCCAAACATTTTCAGTGCTGGATTGTACACGTACTGTACTCAACTGATAAACTGGCTAAGCCAGCACTAGCTATGCGACGATGGAAGCAAAACAGATGCATTTCTATTTTGCATTGCTTTGGTGGTACCTACCAGGTATTTATTGTTTGCTTTGGTTAATCTTAGGTTTGGCTTGCTGATGAGGATGATACAAACAGTGCCAAACGCAACCAAGACAGCAGTAGACTGCGGCTCCGTACAGTACAGAGCGGAGCGGGCATTGAAAATCACTTGGGACATGGAAGCAAGGGAGCTGCGTCAAGCATAGCATTGATTTATGCTATCTTAAATACAAGGTTACCTTAATATATATTTACGTGGAAAGTGCGAAGCGGACATTCCGCTCAGGCCAAGTTCAACAAGACGCGACAGCAAAATCGAAGATAACAAGAAGCAACAGCAAAACCAGCAGGACCCCATGCCACAAGAGCTAACCAAGTAAGAAGACACCATCCATTTGAATAGCACCACAGAGAACACAATCCGTACAAAACCACAAACAATAAGAATAATGACATCCACAAGCAATAGTCACCTGCGACCGCAAGAAGAACTGCAAGCAACGCTGCTACCAGCGAATTCCGTCTTGGGCTCGACGCCGCTCCCCACCGCTACTCCCGTTGTGTACGACGACGAGCTGTTGAGCCAATCGTGGCATACGGAAGAAGATGCCCCCGTGTTGCCACACTATCCCACGGACCGCAAATACGGCGACGATGTGAAACGACGATTGGAACTCGCTCAACGACAAGGCCGACAAGCGTCTTGCGCGGAACGCCTCAGTGTCTCCCAACACAACCGCAAGGTCCCGGCGTACAACAATCAAATGGACTTGGATGTGAACCGCGCCAATGAAGTAGCTCGTGTCGAGAATCATCGAGAACGACGCTTGACCAGTCCGGCGTTGGTCACACGGTCGGTCGAACCAAAACCAGCCGCCGTAAGACGCAACACGGAAGCACCCCAACAATCGACGTACTTTGAGCAAAAGGGTACGGGATATCAAGTCCAAGACTACCAGATGGATGAATACGATGGTGGAGATTATTCCTACGATATCTCAGAGTACAAGAGTGATTATGAATGAGTAAAAGGAAAAAGGAAACAACAATCAGGTGCTTGCTGGCTACGGTTGGCTATGGAGCATCTATCAATCAAACAGCAGAGGGGGCTATTTTATGTTTTCGTGTGAGTGAAGAGACGCAAGTTCCAGAAATAAATGAAAAAGTCAAACAGACAACAATCCACAATCTACCATTAGCATGATCTTGTATACTATTTAGACTTGCATTACATAATATCAACGTCGTTCTGGCTATCCGCATTTTATTGCGGGTTTGCAGGGTGTCTAGTGCTGCCAGTTTTTTACTAATTTGATCTATGTAGCAGATGGGCCACCATCGGCAGCCCCCATCACGTCTCTGATGGTCAAAGGCATTGATACCAACGGACTCTTCTTCCGTCTGGAAATAGAAGACCCAATGTGGTCGGGGAAAGCAGGAACTCGGTAATTGTTCATAGCCTTCGCAGGGCAGGGCATCAAATAGTTTTGGCAGGTCTTCTTCTTATTACTGACTCTCCTTGTTGTTCTGGTCCACCGCGGCTATTTGACACAATCGTCCAATCAACCCCAACAATTGCAACAACGTATTGCATCCATCAATGACACGCATGTGCGTAAACCCAATTTCACGAAGATATTCCAATTTCAATGCTTCCGGTAGATCCTTGCTCGATTTGGTCACTTTGAACAACGTCCCGATAATATCACTGGCCGCATAACCCGTCTTCCACAAATCCTTCATTTGACGCACGGCCGGACCCGTATTTCCTTGTTGGCACGCCGCAATGATTTCGCCCAATATTTTGGGATGTGGTTGATCGCACACTAAAAAGACCGTCGATTGATTGACGACTCCTCCGCGACTCGTACACGCTTGAAAATTGTTGAGGGCATGACGCATATCTCCTTCGGCCGTAAACAACAGCGCTTCCAATCCGTCATTGGTGTACGACACTTTTTCGGCGGCGGCCACTTTGATGAGACAACTCAACACTTGTTCGTTGGTGAGACGGGAATACCGCAAAATGGCAGCCCGCGATTGAATGGCTTCAATGATTTTGGTCGAAATATTGCATGCCAAACAAAAACGGGTCGTTTTGGAATAGATTTCCATCGTTCGTCGAAGCGCTTGTTGGGCGGCGCCAGTCATGCTATAACATAATATTATGGAGTGAGATGGAGATTAGTTAGTTTAAACAAGCAAGAATTGGAGAATACCGTAGATTGTCCGTGCCACAACTCTGCAGTAATAGTATCTCGTACTTACCTATCAGCCTCATCCAAAATGATAATCTTGTGCCTAAGAAAGGCGGCGACCAAACAATAGAAAGAAATCAGATCGATGGACCCAACTTAGCAGCATTCCAAGCATTTTCTATCCACCCATGAAAACGTACCGTCCAGGAGGCAGAGTGACCTTGTTCATGGCAAAACTCTTGATTCGATTGCGGACCACCTATGCGTAGAGTAATAGGGGAATCGCATGCAGATAAATAATGATAAATGAATGAGACAAACGGTAGCATTTCCATTTTCCCATTGACTCTCTACACAAATAGAACGTACATCAATACCACGAGCATCCGATGCATTCAATTCCAAGACTCCATTCTTGTAGGCATCTCCCAACAATTCTCGTGCCAATGCGTGCACGCTGGTAGTTTTTCCTAGAAAACACAATATACCCAAAACATGATGGTGAGTCCACATCCAGCCATCAATCAAAAGATATTTCAAGTCTCTTCATATAGTAATGATCAAGGATAACGCACCTGTCCCTGGAGGTCCACTGAGAATGAGATTGGGGACATTTCCATCCTTGGCAATGGCGCGCAGTCGGACCAACGTCTCTTCATTGCCCACCACATCATCCAACGTTTTAGGACGGTACTTTTCCACCCAAGGAGTCTGGTAGCCACCTCCCTTCTTTTGCTTCTTGGTGGGGCCGCCCGAGTTGGCGGAAGTGGAAGTAGTAGCAGTAGCGCTCATGGTGACAATGGTGATAATCAGAAGATACTAGTAGGTAGATAGACTGATAGATGGGATGTTGATGGATTAGTTAGAAGAAGAAGAGGAGTGTGTTATGGTCGTTGGAGGGAAACAATGACAAAATCGATCTTTCGGGCCAAACTGCGTCCAACACCTCCAATGACATGGAAGATCTTGTCGTGAGTCATCAATCACACGTCATGGGGACTGACCACAAAAACAGCGAAGACCCAAAAGACCCCAACGCTTCTTCGCTCCTTCACCACCATGGCACATCACATCAACCCCCCTCAACATTTCTTCTATTTTGACTCCCCACCAACACCCCCTTCTGCCGCACCGCAGATATTATGGATCCTCCCAGCCCCAAGCCCTTTGATGTCTTTGAAGAGGCTGCCACGGCGGTCTGTGATGCGGACGACCCGAACGACGACAACAATAAAAAGCCCAAAGGTGGCACCGTCTGGGTCCAAGTCTTGTTGGGGAGTCGCAAGATCGGACAACCCTCGGAGTTTGCGACACCCCGCAATGTCGACGCCTTGAAAAAGCTCGTCAAGCAGGAATACGTCGAACTAGAATCCATTTCGGCACCGTGTTGTCAAGTTTATCATTCGTCCGTCACGGCGGGAGGATGTGCCGTGCCACTGGCGGCCAATTCGGAACTTCCACTCATGGCCATTTACGATGATCCCATCAAAATTGTGGCACCTGCGGAACAACCACCACCAAAAGCAGCAAAGTGTGAGTTTGTTTATGATAGTAATGGCCTTGGGTTGCTGATTTGATGGATGGATTGTGAGTTGTATTCTCATTCTTTTTGGATTCTCCTCCACCCAATTCATCCACTCCACTTGATCAATCAGCAGCATCCATGCAGCAACTGGTTCCTGCTGCAGTGCCTACTGCTGCAACTGGGAAGCGTAAAGGCAAAGCAAACACTCTGAGCATTGAGGAATACAAGGCTGCCATGGCGGCTTCGGCCAACGCTGCCCCAGGGGCTGGTGGTAAGGACAAGTGTTACTTTCTCCATGTCTTTTTGGTTGTGCTACACACGGTTGGAGAAGTCTGCATCTTTTCACGTCTCAAAAGAATCCTCAAGTTTCTCTTTGTCTGTTTCACTGGATATTATGTATTTATAAAGCCTCCATTGCGGCGTATGTTCCCGCCACACCACAGCGTTTGCGAAAAAAACAACGACAGGCATCCACATGTGGCGAAGAACACGACACCATGGCATTGAGGGTGGGGAAACGACGTCGTTGTGTCATTTGTATGCGCAAAACGGGGTACGAATGCTCTCATGAAGACTGTCAAACACGCATCAAGATTGCCGCCAATATTGGACAACTCTTTGGTGTCCCGCTCTGTTCGTCAGGATCGGCTCCACGGGTCGATACCAGCAAGTACGGGGCTTACAATGACAAGACGTGTCTGGAATTGCATGCGGAACGATACAATGAAGAACACTTTACGGCAACTGCGGTGGTAGTGCAAGAAGATGTCAAAGAGGAAGTCTGAATGAGGGTATCATCAATCTATCTTACGGTACAAGCAAAGGCAACGTGATCCCAATCTACTGGTACTCCTTCGGATGAAGACTCGTATGGCTCTTTTGGGAGGATTCTCTTTCTGTTTGTACAAGGGAAGATGTGCATAGGAGATAAAGAGAGAGAGAGAGATTCATTCCATGGAGAACATCTTACTGTCTACCTGTCAGAGCTTATTAAAAGAGTAACAATACCTACCGTATGTTCATTCTGAATCTTCTATTCTGGACGGACCTGTTTTGGGATTCTGCAGAATTGTTATACAAGTAACAGACCGGTACCAGGTAGCGGTAGCTTCCGTTGTGCGAGGTTGTCGACGCCTTCAGTAGCTCTGCTGGTTAACGGTTTCGCTCCTTCGCTGTTTGCTGAAAGCTCTCACATCACTCACTGCACTCGAAGACAACCTTGTTCTCTTTCCAATACTTTCGCTTTCGATCCCTCCAAGCGACGATGTCCAACGCAAAAAACACTATGAGTATCGAGGTACTGTACCACTCTCCCAAGCCTTTGCTTTGTTGGCAGATGAAGAGTATCATGATGTATCTCTCAAAGGAAAAGATGGAGTGTTGGTGCCGGCAAATCGAATGGCGTTGTCGGTCCGCAGTAGCTACTTCAAGACAATGTTCAAAAAGGGTGGCTTCAAGGAATCCTCTGATGATGTGGTCCCAATCAACTTTCCCAGCAATATTCTGAAGGCAATTGTGGAGTATATCCATACTGATACAGCCATCATTCTAGAAAACATTCTAGCCAAACATCCGGAGATTGTCTTTGGAACGTGCAATGGAGATGGAGTTTCTGTCGCTCAAATGGAAGAATTCAATACCTTGGTTTCGTTGACAGAAGCAGCAATGTATGTTGGATTGCCAGGCCTTTGTCAAAGCACTCAGAAGTGCCTTGCTGCCTTGATGAAGAAAAACCCTTCTCTGGCATTTGCTATCCTTGCAGCATCCAAGGAAGCATCACCCGAAATCTCGGAGGAACTGGCAAGCCAAGCTTGGAGCATGGTCTCTGGTATTACTGAAGTTTGGCCTGGAATTGTGCTGGGGAACATTTCGGGCACAATTCTCAAAGCCATCCTTGAAGATGCAAAGAAAAGGTTGAGCAATGGAAAGCTCTTCGAACTGATCCATTCCTAATCCAAAAGTGAACCCTCATTTTCTGATGAAACAAAAGAAAGACGCCAAGATCCTGCCAAGACTTTGGTTCGAGACCATGTTGAGCTACAGCTCATGGACCCGGATGAGTTGGAAACTCTTGTGGAGACATCAGGTTTGGTGACAAAGGACAATTTATTGGATGCCTACAAAAAGCAAGCGAAGAGAGCCAAGCATGAACATAGCGTTTCCTTTGATTGTCATTCTTCCGATGTCGTTCCAGTTGAGTGGAAGGGAAGCAAATCCAAAGTTTTCGCTTCCTTAGACAATCATTGGAGAAGTGATGCTATCAATGGAGTTATCTTTCAAGTTGGTGAAAAGTATCGCTGGACGATCACGACCACCACCAATGTTGATGAAGAATCGTATGTTTGGCTTGGTGTTACAAAATCTGCCCATTGTATCAGGCCAACGGCGCTGTGTGGTATTCAACAAGGTTGTTGGGGTGTGCTTGGGTACAATGGACATGAGTGTTCCAACGGACGGTTTGGTAGACCACTGGGAGAAGCTGCTGTGTTTGGCAATCAGGGACGATCATGTGTCACCATGACCCTTGATTTGTCAGCAGGAAATGCCTTCAATGGGACCCTATCAATATCTGTCGATGAAAAAGAGTCTGTTGTTGCTGTTTCTGATTTGCGGACCCATCTGGTCGGAGGCGGTGCTGGTCTTGTACCAGCAGTGTCATGCAATAACGCGAGTGCCACCATTGCGTGTGTTCAGAAGCTGTAGCCATGATTGTTGCAATGAAGATGACTATAGAGAGTTGTTGGCAACCCTGCCGCATATGTTGCCATTGACCAGCATTTGGTTTTCTACGTGATACTGCATTTCAAATTCTCTTTCAGCTACAAAGCAGACGGAAGTAGCTTGTTTTCCGTTCATGCCCAGCTGTCTATAAATGATATTGTCGCACTTAGCTTTCCTTAGCATTCATGTCTCTGGAACGTCACCAGCGCTTGTACATTTCACACCCCAGGTTGGTTGTCAATCAAAGTGAAGAAGCATCAAGCAGATAGAGCAAAGGTTTCAAGCTCATTTGAGGTGGCGCCATCCCCCCTCGGTGGTAGTTGAAATCCACTCAAAATCTACAAGATGAATCTGCCAGGTCTCTACAGGGATGATGAGAAGCCAAGAGCTCGATTCGATTCTTGTCTTCCCTGTTGCAACGTCGACGACAGGGGTGGTTAGGGAGTTAGGGAGCACTCATTTGCTGCTGCTCCTGCTTCGGCTAAAACCGTCTTGGATGGATAGGAGTTGCTACCGGGCCTCCCTGCCCTTCACCCTTCGACTAGAGCATACCAATTGATACCGCTGCATTGTAGCTCTAGAACACGCACATCATGGAAGAGAGGAGCTTTTCGTTTCCAACGCATCTCAACTCCATGCATACTGGTGACTTGGCTACGTACTTGAGAATGCCACCAAGTGCTCCGTAGAAAATTGATACTATAAAACACATGCAGTCTATTTGTTTTGTCTATGACCTTCAGTTTCGTCGCTTGGCGCTCCAAGCTCGCTGCTCGTTGCTTTGCCCTCATCCGTGCGTGATCCTTGCTTACAGGGATCCCTGCCTGGCAGGGGTTGCTTTGGAAGCAGAATAGGTGCGCTGAACACCTCTCCGAGCAGGAAGCTCTCTGGATTTCTTCGAACCTCTGGGCTCTCGATGGTGGAGGGAAGCTGACTCCAGGTCGTCGTTGGACGAATCCAACAGGTTGCGACGGCTCAAACGAAACGACAAGGTAGCACGAAGGCCACCGCGCCTCTTGTTGTTGCTAGCAGGAACTGGTGACATGCTACGAATTCTGGCGGATCCTGTCGAACTGCGGCTCTTTGGGCTGTGGTCCTCTTCGGCAGGGTGATTGTCTCCTAGACTCTCGTCGTTGAGGTCCAGATCTTTCAAGTCCTTGACATCGAATGAACTGATCGAGTTTTGCGGAAGGAAACCACATCTCATCAATTGAATTTGGAAAGACGCGCCAGAGGAGACACTGATTTGTTCGGAATTATCTTCGAAGCTCATTGTAATGGTATATTGACTTGAATAGGATTTGGTTGTTGCTTTTGGCTGTTCAGCTTTTGTATTTGTGAGCTCAAACGATGTTTTGGACTGATCTGCAGAATCGAGGAATCAACATCCGGAACTCAAACGGCGTTGCAGGCGACATGCAGCGTTCGCGAAATGGCCCTCCGAAGCTCACTGGAGGTGGAGTGCCTTTTCTTGGCCAATGAATGAGATGGTGTCAACAGTCCATAAGGAATCTGATTACAATGTTCTACAGCAAGGTTAACAAGGAAAAGAGCACAATAGTCAAATACACAAACTCTGCAATACCATTCCAGCGAAACTTGCTAGGATGACTGACGAGAAACGCGTCTCGAGGACAAGGGGTTCGTTCGCTGCAGCTGCAGCATCGATCCAAGGGTTACTTTCTCCTTTGGGTTGGATAGATTCAACCTATCAACCTATCGTAGCCATTACCAAGCCAGCTAACCATCAAAGTCAATAGCTGGGAGATCTACAGCTAGGACTCAGCGCATCCAGAGCGAAACACGTGGTCTGGGTTCGGATCATCACCTCCAGTGACTTCAAAAATGGCAACCGAGGTCAATACTTGAACCCACACTGGTGAAGAAAGGAGCTGGCTAAGTCATCGAGCGTTGCATACAGGAAACAAAGGCAAAGCAATTGTAGCTGAAGCCAGCCAGATTCCAAATTAAGATCAGATGGGTCCCACCTTATGAAAAGCGCTTCCCTCTTCGGTGAGGTAGGGGAGGTTATGGGTGATAAGGCCAATAAAAGAAGCAACTCGGAGCGTTGCTCGAAACCGGTACGGTACGACTGCAGTACCGCAAGCTGGAAAGACTGGCACTTTATGGAAAGAGTCAAGAGAAGGCAAAAAGCGCACACCACCCACCGTACCGGTACTGTACCGATGTTATCGTGTATGAAAGGGTTCGCCGTACCGGTATTCGTCGCTTGGGTCTCCTTCAGGCGCCAATAGAACATCACCCTCAGTGTACCGTAGCTTCCAAGAATAAAAGGTTCCCTCTCGAAGCAAAGAAAGGTCCCAGGCCATAGCTTCACATGGTGGTGGTGGTGGCAACCTTGCAACCTTGCAACGGACAACAGTGATAACTTGGCTCTCGCATGTCACCAACGCGAAGGAGAAACGAAGTAGGAGCTTGGAACTGGCTTATAGGAGCCACAGACCTTGTTTCCCTCCTGCGGTAGTAGGGCAACCCAGTAATAACCGAGCTATGTAGCTAGCTAGATGCCTGGGTTGCACGTAACGGTGGATTGAAGGTGCTCCACAAACGACTTTGCAGTGGGTTTCCCGGACAAGATTTCGGAAAACACAGAGCCCAGCCAAGACTTGAGTGCTCGAATCCGCCTCGTCAAGTTGGTCTGCGAAGCCAGAATAGAGCCCAGTGATTCGGGGATCGCCTGGAGCCTTGTGATTACAATGCCCGTCGGCGAGGAATCAGTATCTGCTGCCTCTTCTTCTTGGATGAGCACTCGTGCGGTGTAGGATCCCGGGTACAGCAGTCGCAGGAAGCAAGTCCCAAAGGGAAAATCTATGATGACAGAGTAGATCGTCCACAGAACTGCGGTTGTGATTGTTCGCACCACGAGATTGAGAATGGTAAAGAACGTGTAGTACACCAATACGGTGGTCAACAGAAAGAGTGATGCTACAAACAGCATACTCCCCATCAAGAGCTGCATCGAATCGTATTCCATAGTATCGGTTCGTTTGCGTAGAATGTTGAGTTTTTTGCCTCGAAAGAGCCGCCACGAGGATGCCAAGAGGTAAAACTCGGTTCGGTACACGTATCGAAAGCCTTCTGCCAGGAGTGCGAGGTGGATTGTCAATAGGGCAACCATATCCATGGCCAGAGCGAGGCAACCGGTTCCTCCCAACACTGCGCAAATGGCGAGTATCGCCACGTCGTTGTAGTAGGATCCAATGCTGACACCAATAGTATAATCATTGGCCATGCTGTCAATCAAGAATGACAGAATGGCTTGACGAAGCAGTACCAAGGAGCGTATTTCCTGTCCAATGGCCAACGTCACGGCCACATTGAGCTTGAACCCAATGGGAAAGCTCTCCAACCAATCCAGCCATGCAGGCAAATAGGGTTGCTCCACGAAATAGGATGAAATCATGGACGACACTGATGATTGTCCCCAGACTACCAAAACGACCCCGCACAAGATCCCTGCCACGAGATCCATCGCATCGGCCAAGCGCTGATTGGTGCGTTTTTCGCGTGGCATGTTGTTGTAGCTATCCCAAACAAGGCGGGTCAACGGACTACTTCGCCAAAGCGAATCTCCCCAAAGATGAGAGAACATCATGGAGTGCCGCAGTACCGGTAGGGAAGATCCGATGATGCCTGTCGGGGCTTCCTTTCGTTGCCCTGATTCATCAGGCCGATCTAGACTGTTGTCGTCCGAAGTAGTATCGCTTGTAGCAGTGATTTTCGAATTGTCATCGGATATTTCTTTTGTTTTGGCCAAGCATGTCAGAATCGGTTGTGCCATCGAGACTTGTGCCAATATCTTTCCAAATGTCGACTCCGGACTGCAAATATTGTCATGGTAGGTTTTGTGAGGATCATATAACACAATTTGGCAACCTTGTTCTTCATATTGGATGGTTGGATAATTGGTGCCTTGCTGTAAATAAAAAATGAGTAGATTGTCTTGTTTTAGCCATTCCTTGGTAGCATTACTCATCTCTGAGTCTCCTCCTGATGAAGCAAGCAGATACCCCACAATTCTCAACTCATTGACATGGCTGTTGGAATCCAAGCCTTTGGGAGTCTCTCGGAGTGAACCAAGCCTCTTTTGCAAATTATCATGAGCTTGTGATATCTCGTTTCCGTCATCTTCCTTCCTCCCAACAATTCCGGCGACTACAAGGGTGGCGGCGGTAGGCCAGTTATTACTAGCAGATCCTTGCTTCCAATACCACCCCAATACAAAGCCTTCGGTTCCCAACGGGGGATTTACGTCAGGCCAAAATAAAAGGCGCCGCTTGGACCCTTGCCAATCGTCAGTTATGCTTGCTCCTTCCATAGCATTGATTCTTTTGTCACGCAATCTATCTATTGTTGATGATGATGTCAATGAAGTACATGCAGGGGAGGGTTTTGCGTTTGTGATTGTCTCTCGTTTCTCGTTCTCACTCAGAATCAAATCTACAATAGGGTTAGGAGCGAAGCACAATCTTTCAAATTGAAACTTGGATACTCGTGATCCAGATGCAATCTTGCCAACGGACAAATTTCGCGAGCACCGACCATGGACGAAAGAAAGCGGTGCCCAAGCATTCTTGCCAAGCATGCAACCATCAGCCTGGTGAAGTTATTGTGATAACATTCGGTTCATAACTATCATAGCTAGAAGGAAGATAATGGAGTTTAGACGTGGCAATCTCGCTTTTGTGGCTCTGCTACTGCTGCTTTCACTGGCCACCACTACTCGGGTATCTGCCGCCAATGATGATAATGCCAAGAAGAAGAAGGGTGACACGGACCACGGATCGATTGATGAAAACAATTTTCAACAAGGATGTACAGAGGGCGAAGGAGACAAAACCTGTAAAGCCAGAATTGTGACGGTGGAAGAATTATCCACCAAAACGGGAGAAGATGGTGGCACCGAGCTCTGGTTGTCCATTTTTGGCAAAGTCTACAATGTATCCAAAGGACCCGAGTACTATGCCCCCAAATCCGGCTATCACATTTTCGCTGGTCGCGATGGGACCATTCCATTTATTACTGGAAATTTTACCGATGAGGAATGCGCCAAGCACACGGACGAACTGACGGCTGCACAATTGTATGCTCTGGATCGAGAATGGTCCAATTTCTACGCCAAGGAGGAACGATACCCCTTTGTGGGATTCCTCTGTTGTCGATTCTACAATGACCAAGGACAACCCACCGAGGAAACACAACGAGTCTGGCAACGAGTCAAATCCTATGAAAAAATCAAAGCAGCCAAAGACAGAGAACGAAAAGAAGCACGAGACAAGCGAAAAAAGAGGCTCATGAATACTATGGCAACAACCACCTGAGCTCCCAATTGTTGCCAAGAGGAGTGACAGTCATGAAGAAGTATGATAGTATCAAGAGGAGGAGGAATGGAAAATGCATAAAAGATGACAATACGCCTGATTTTGGAACCACAATGAAATGGAAAATGACATTGGGAATCCATAGGAGAATCGAATCGGCATTGCTACACACAACCCATTATACTGTAATGGCATGGCATTGGCTCTCTGTCAGGTCATTCATTATGTGTTGCTCCAATCACTGTCAAATCAATTTACCAGATAAGAAGGACTTTTCTTTTGTGAAATTGACATTGTCTAATTTGTCAAACCGTGCCCATTTATCGCCTCATTTCATCCAATATGTTGAACCACAATGAGAGATACACTTTGTTCTTCCTCCTTGCCGGTTCCGGTGATGAGTGGTGATCGTTTAGAGGCAAAATTATCTGTACCTTAGGACACTTCGGGCGCACCTCCCAGATTCACAATGCTTGTTGAGGGCAGCATCATGATCTTTGCTTATGCTTCACCCGAGCTCGGTACCGGTACATTGAACAGCCCCCAAAGCTTGGCTCGGTACAGGGCAAGCTGAAAATGGGAGTGGACGGGCAACCTGGTAGTTTCCAGAATTGGATACGAGGGGATCTTTCAAATAATGGTCACAGGAATATGGATAGTGTGAGCTTTATGCTCTGGTCCCATTCTGGACCTCGTTTAGCTACCCTAACACGCCTAGCTAGGTAGTTGGTAAACGGGAAGCCTCAGCACTCCAACAGTTTCTTTGGGCGGTGAAGGAGCAAAACGATCATTGCTCCATCATCATATCGGTCGCTTTGATAAGATCCTCGGCGCTTGAATAAAATGCCAACTGAGACACCCCAGGACGCGTTCCCTTTTCCATACTGTTCAAGGTCTCCATCAAGGTTGTCGATCGAATGTTGGGTGTTTCTGGCAATTTACTGCTGGATTCACGGAGTCGATTGTAGCTTGTTTCGCAATCGGCCTTTTCGAGAAACAGAGGAAGCTGGGGACCTTTGTTGGATGCAAATGCCAAGCGATCGGCCACAAACAAGGGAATGTCACTATCTGCCACGTCCATACTGAAGGAAGCTGCATCTTTGAGAGCGCTCTTGGAAGGAACAAGACGATACTTTGTTTGACTGGATTCAGAAATACCGGCCTCTGCCTTTTGCACGGCATCTGGAGGTGGCGCCATCCGCATGCGACCTCGTTTCAGTACGAGCGGGTAGCTTTTTTGCAAAACGAATGGCGTAAGTAAGGAAAGCACACGAACATATGGCATTTGATTTGATTATGCACGGCACTTACGTGACTTGGTCCAATGTAGTTGCCTTTACTGTCAACAACCCTGCCGCATCACTGGCATCTTGATAGGACATGAAAATATTGGTCCCCATTACATTTTCCTTGTCGACCAGATAAAACACCGGCACTGTGTTTAACTTTTCCTGGATACTAGAACGAGACAATCGATCTCCAGTGGCTTCGTAATTTTTCAATTTCTCAGGAGCATCTTGTTTCGTCACCACAGAATCCGCAATGCTCAGGTCTCGACCGCCGCCATCCATCATGGGCAAGAAGCTGGTTCCCACAAAGAGAAGGATGATGGTAGCACCCAGCAAGGAAAACAAAATTCCTTGGAGTCCACCACCACCCCCTTCGTCATTCGAAGACATGGACAGCTGGGTATTGATGGTTCCCACATGGATGTCTTGACTCTTCAGCTGCAGGAGGCCGTTTGGTTTGGAAATTCCTCGCGTGTGGACCGTGGGATGCAAGAAAGCCGAACATGGTAGTAAACCAGCTAGCAGCGAGACGGTAACAGCGAAGTTTATCCAAAAGGATACCTTCTTATTACCCCGGGTGATCTTGGGCTGTTCCATCATCATCTTGCTTTTGCTTTCCGTGCCAATTCAGCGTTTGCGGTTTGCACAGAGAAAACGGTTGGATCTTTGGATCTTACTCGATTTGACACCAAAGATCCAGTTTGAGAAACAGTCGATGACGTCAGTAATTGCACCCAACAGAGCTGTTTTTTTATTTTTAAAAGGTGGAGGCAAATACCGCTGCTCAAGAAATAAAGAAGCATGATGCTGTTACCATAGCTACTAGCTAGAGAGCAACAGAACAAACCTGTCCCAAAAGAAGTACGAGATGGCACAGCCAATCACTGACGAATGGACAATAGATTTGATGTCCTTCTAATGTCAAAAGATCCAATTCGAATCCAACATTTCTAAATTGGCAAAGCTCATGGTACGGAACTGGGCTAGGAGCAGACAAAGTTGCACCAACCGCAACCCTTCACGCAGCCATCGTTCCGGTGCCCTCTGTGCTGCAGCATTCATTGCTCAAACCACCGCTCAATGCAACTTTACCGACACACCCGAAATTGAGTGGAAAGCAATTTGGACTTGAGACTTCATATTGGAGTGTTCGACGAACCATTCCACAATACGGTCGCCACTAACGTCGCCAAAGAGCATGATCACTTGCTTCCTCGTCGCGCTACTGGAGACTTGGAGCTTGCTAAATTAAGCAGGCGCCTTCTAATCATTCTAGCCACAATACACAGAAGCCAGAAACTACTTTATGCTTCGATCTATATTATTACATGCGGCTTTCTATTCTAAAAGGCACCAGCATCCGCCATGGACAAGTCCTGAGTGGCAACTACATCGAAGATGCATTCCTTCATGTCATCCAAGCGCCCAGCAACGGCACATGCATCTCCGGCCTGAGTCTCAGTGATGGACTGCTCTCCCAAACGGCGACTGCTGCTAGTTGGATCCTTCTGCGGCACGACACACTGTTGGGGGTATTGAGGGGAGTAATCCATATCCATGAAGAGGCCAGCCTCTTCCTCGCGAACTTGCCACTCCTGGCCGTACGCATCGGGGTCGTTTTGCAAGACCGTAACTCCATCTCGAGCCAACATTTGACCACCATGGGATCCAAGCAAACCGATGCTTCCTTCGAATGCATCCATGGACTTGGCATCCACACTGACAGATACCATATCCTTGAAAGTCTTGAGTTTGATGGTGGTGTCCTCGGTAATCACAATCTCAAAGACATGTTCTTTATCACTCTTTTGATCATGAGAAACCAAGAACTGACCACCCACCACGGCAGGCATGGCAGCCTCCGAAACTGCATCCAACATGTAGCCACCAAAGCTGGACACCTCCAGCGTATCATCACCAATTCGAACCGCAGCACTTTCAATGTAAGAATAGTGGTATCTGCTCTTAGTTCTGATGTGAATGGTCAAGCCTGTGCCATGGGCAAACTGCGGAACTCTGAGTAAAACCAATTCGCAAACACCGTGGTAGTCAAATCTATATCCGGTCCATGTCTTGACTGTGACAATACAGGAGGATGGAGTGGTGAGCAAAGATGTCCGAGTCAAGCCGCATCTAAAGCAAAGCAAAGCAAAGTAAAGCACGGCTCGAGCGAAACTCACAGTGAGGGTCTCCACCAGCTCCTGGATTGGAAGGAGTTGGGGTTGGAGGAGTCGGAGTCGGAGGGCCACCGGTGCAACCTTGCAAGGGGTCACCGATGAAATGTTCCTTACAGACGCAGTAGGCTGTGCCATCCGGCTGGGGGTGGCAAAATGTGTTTTCTTCGCATGGACTGGGTTCGCAAGGATTAGGTTCAGGTCCAGTTGGTGGAGTTTCTGTAATAGCGGGTGGTGCCGTTGGACACGACGTTGCGCCGAACTCATATTGCTGTGAGTAGAGATCGGACCGCATGGGGAAATTATTATACTGCCAGAAGCTGCCACCAACTTCTGTCAAGACGTTGTTTGCCCAGTTCAGGGTGAGACCGGGAAAAGTAGGGCCCTCACCTCTCCTGACTAGAATGCCATTTTCTCCGTTGTCAAAGATCGTGAATCTGAATCTGCTCGTGTTGTCCAAACACCAATTGAGATCCACGCGCTGATTCGAAGTGTACGTTCCGGCGGTGGTACTATCGATGACTGTGTTTGTACAGATGTCGCGAAGCTCCCAAAAGTTGTCGTGGGCATCATAGCCAAAACCAATTCCTACTAGCAGTGTTTGGTCAATAGCGCAACCCGCGACCGATCCGTTGGCAACTACGCTGCGCCCGAACGACATGAACGCGGCGATGGAAAGAAGTGATAGTTTCATCTTGGTGTTTTGTGATCTGTTCGATTTTATGGGTCGAGTTCGAGAGCTAGTTGAGCAGCAACTCAAAAACCGCTCCACTACTAGTACTTGGAAACCGAGCTCTACTGCATTTTTATTGGGGGGGGGGGGCTTGCTTACTGCATTTGATTCTTGCTGTGATCCATTTTCTATCTACTACCGCAACCAAATACCCCTTTTCGTTGAAAATGATTTGGGGGCGGGAGTCAGAGTCCCAGCGAGCAAGAAACTGTGATTGAAGGCAGATGAGTACAAGTGGGATTGCTGCGGGGGATTTTAGGGTACCGTAGGGAAAGCCAGCGGTGGGATTGATTGCAACTCTGCTCCACTTTCTACAGTACCTGCACATTGAAGCTACCGAACATAGCCGTTGCGGGTACCCCAATATCAGCCGGAAGATATCTTTTTCAAATGGTTTGGAGCCATGGCTGGGCAATCTCAATACCGTACAGCTGCGTGGCTAGACATCGTGAGCCACCGAACGTTTGGGGCATGGTCCTGAGGCTAACCTTGCAAAAGCACTGAGTCTTTCGGTTGCTTGTGGTGGGATAATCTTTTATGTGAAGTGCCCTGGCTGACCATGATCTTAAAGTTCTGATCCCGAACCTGTACACCTCTAGCTACCGGTTGCAGCCTGAGCTTTCATTTTCCTTGTTGGGTCGACTGATGATGGTTGGCGTCTTGAAGAAGAAGCCGGAACTTTCTCTCTCGCGCTTTCTCTCGAAGGAGAGAGACTTTCGTTGAACAAGATGCCGTCGCTGATCTGTGGCTCTAGGTATGAATATACTGCCAATTGCATGTCCACTGGCCTGCAATAATCTCCCAGCCGATAGGTCTGAGGATTCGATTCGGATCCAAATCTGGCCATTGGCTGCAAATTTCCGCCACGTGTACCGTATCTTCATTCATTTAGTACCCTAAACCAGCCACACTGTGTAGGAGTCGCTAAGACATGTGCGAACTAAGTCCATAGAATATCAAAGACGCATATAACACTAATTTCTTATTACCAAAACATCCATGGAGGACTGTTTCCTGCCTACATTTTGCTCTTCAACTTGGGTTCCGGGGCGGATGCACCCATGAGAGGAGGTACGGCCGCGCCGCTGGCTTGAGGACTGGTTCCCCAGGTCCCCATGGTGACCAACTCCTCCGATGCCGTGGGATGGATGGCGACACATGAATCCAAGTCTGCCTTGGTGCATCCCATCTTCATGGCGACACCGAATCCTTGCATCATTTCATCCGCGCCCATTCCAATGACGTGCATTCCAACCACCAATTCGTTTTCTCCGGCGCAAATCACTTTCATGAATGTCTTGGGTTTGTCGTTGGGATCGGCCACATCGTAGATTCCATAAAACAGATTGGCAAATCGCGACTTGTACACCTTGATATTGTCCTCTCCGTATTTGGCAACAGCCTGTGGTTCCGTCATGCCGCAGCCACCAATGGGAGGATGGGAAAAGACGACCGTGGGGACATTTTCGTAACTGGCCCTGGCTTTTTCGTAAGCGTCTCCTCCAAAGAGTCGATCCGACAACCGACGACCGGCGGCAATGGCCATGGGGGTGAGTTCCACTTTTCCACAGACGTCTCCCAAGGCGTAAATATTGTCGACACTGGTATTTTGAAACTCATCCACTTCAAGGTATCCTTTTCCTTCCTTCAACTTGACACCGGCCTTTTCCAATCCAAGGCCTTCGGTAATGGGGACACGTCCCGGTGCCATGAGGACAATATCGGCTCCTTCAATGACTTCATCATTTTGCATGGTGACCTTTTTCTTGCCTCCATCGCCGAGTTCAATTTTGGCCACACCATTGGTATTGCGATGAATGGTAATGCCCGCCTTGGTGTATTCGGCATCGAGCATATCGGCAATATCGGGATCAAACTCGCGGAGTGCCTTTTGTTTGCGAACGACCAAATGGGTTTCCGATCCCAAAGCATGCAAGACACCGGCCAATTCGACGGCAATGTATCCGGCACCGACCACCACCACCTTACTTGGCAGCGATTCCAATTCAAAGAATCCATCACTGGTAATGCAATGTTCGGCCACTCCCTCACCGGGTGGCACCATGGGTTTACCTCCCGTTGCCACGACAATTTTATCGGCCGTCACGGTTTTGGTAGTGCCATCCTTGAGTTTGATTTCAATGGTATGGGCATCGACAAAGGATCCCCATCCTTCAAAAATATCGACATTGTCATTCTTATCGAGTCCACTTTCGTAAATCTTGTTGAGACGGACAATGTAGGCATCCCTCTTTTTTTTCATGGCGGCCCAATCAAATGTGGCATCGGGAGTTCCAAATCCATACTGAGGACATTCGTGGACCAACGTCTCGCGCATGCTGGCGGCCAAGAACATGATTTTCTTGGGAACGCAGCCTAGGATCATAGTATAGCATAGTGAATGTTGTGTTGGGGGTATCATCATCATCATCGTCATCCAAGATTGCCAAATGCCAGAAATGAGTCATAAATCAAGTACACGTACGGATCAGGAGGGATAGAACAAACAGGGTGAGAAAAAGAATCAAAGAATAACTGTCATCACTCAAGAATCCAACCAATATCATCTCTATCAGTACTGACCAACTGGATATCATCCAATGAAAAAAGAGGGCAATGGTATGTTTTGTTGGTTTGTTTTGATGTCATGATTTGTTGTATCCATTGGGGTATCCAGAAAATCGTGACATTGAGTTGAGACAAGGTAAGAAAGAGTAGAGAGCATGCAACAGGGTGAGATCGAACATTTTTCCAAAATTCCAATCCATCACTATTAGTACGATTTGGTACTGACCATTGACACAAGTTCCTCCCCAACGGTTCGCTTCAACGACGCAGACCTTCTTTCCGTAGTTGATAGCAGCACGCTTGGCGGACGAGACTCCTCCGGATCCTCCACCGAGCAACAAGTAGTCGTAATCGTAGGTCGTCATCTTGATCTTATTAATATCTCAATGGATGGATAGAATCTTCTTGGTGGATTTTGGTCTTCTGCTGCTTGCTTGATGAGGCTTCTGCTTCTTCTCTTCTTTGAAATTGCTTTCTCGTTTTATGGGATTGTGTTTTGTGATGATAGAAGCAAAGATACCCTCTCTTGCTTAACTGGCAACCGAAAAATAGAACAAAGATTGCAGGAGCGGTATCTTTGAGGCCTTCATGAGCCCGAGCCATCATTCCCAGGCAAGATCTTTCGGAACCCTCCAAAAGATCCATCGAAATCGCAAGCCGGCAAAGATGCCAAATCGTTTTGGCACGTCTCACAGCCATTCGATCATCCCCAAGAACTTTGAAAAGGAAATAGCGAGGCCATGAAGCAACTGGGCGACGGATTTGCTCCTGACCATTGCTCCTACAGGGCACTACTAGCTAGTACCTGGTACCCCCAAGAGATAATAGTAGCTCTAGGAAGCCAAGAAGTCAGACAGACTCATAGCAACTAGTCTATTCGTTGGTGGCCATGAGTTGTCTAACTAAAGCCTCGGAAACAGAGGTGACCAGCCAAACGGTGTTGAAGAATGATCATGATGATGCAGTAAACCCCCCAAAGAAGAAGAACAGCAAGGACAATCCGTTGTTCCAATCTCCCTTGGCGGGTCAACGAAGGGGCTTGGGTCGGTCGGCACGACGAAGACGAAAGAAACTCATTGAGACGCTGAGAGCCGAAGAGCAACTGCTGAAACAAGATGGAACTTCTACTACTACCAACACAAACACCAGTGTCATCGCCACCGATCGCCATCGGATTTGGCCTGGAGTGGAGGAACGGCGTCGTCTCCTACAATCCAACACTGATGGAGACTACTGGGGCAGCGACGCACCACGGTTGGTGGCCCAATTAGCGTTTATTCCGGGCAATGCCATTCGCATCTGTGCCCGCGTCTCCACGGTTCCCTTTTTACAAACACATCGAACTGTGGGAGAGGAACCTGTGGTTCTACAGTTGTATCCGTTGGCTGTGCGAGACGATGACGATGCCGCAAACAGCAAATTCAAACGACGCAAACGAAAACGACAAAAACAGCCACAGACGGACGACAAGACGAATGATGATAGTGCTACAGAACAATCCGAAACCAAAATGCCAGAGAATGCGAAAGGAGGAGACACAATTTTGGATCTGTCGCAACAAAGTAAAGACTCTACTAAAAGGGATCCCGACACGAAAAATCTACAATCCAATCCACCAACCAAAGATGATGACAACAAACAATTGGAGGAGGACGACTTTGTCGTGGAACCATTCCCCACACTCTACTGGTTGACTCATCCTCTATTACGGACGATGGTCTCCAAATTGGAATTGCAAGGCACCGGTCGACGATTGGAACAACGACTCCAGAACGACCCACACGCATTGGAGGCAATGACACGAGCGCACCATGGGTATGGACAAGAACGCTACGACTTGTTGACGCCCACGGATATTGCTTATATTGAAACGCGAAAGTGGCAACGGGCATTTGATCCTCGTCAACGAGGTGTCGCGGGAATTCGGAACCACGCCGCCGTCAAGTGTTTGCACGCCCATGTCGCCCACTATCTGAGTGGTGGTCAAGGCAGTTCCGATAATGTCATTGGAAAGTGGGTCATGGAAGAAATCATGGAACAGCAACAACAACAACAACAACAGAGCCTACCCAAAGAAAAGCATGCTACAGAGAGTATCATGGACGAGGATACTGGAGTGGGTACGAAACATGATGATGAAGAAGAAAAAGTGCAAGGGGATGCCAAAGCATAAGGTAGTCTGACAGGCAGGGTGTATCGCGCTGGTAGCTTCTAGCACGCTGTGCCCGTAGAGGACCATGCTATTGGAACAGCAGCAGGATCCGTCACCACGTCAAATGGGCACAAACGAGATAAGAGTCCTCAGCTAGCTAGCTAGCTAGCTAGATCAACAGCCGGAAGACTAGATTTTCAAATCAAGGGGAGTTCATGTGTCTCTCTCTCTCTACACCAATGACTTTTGACCCACACAAATCAAATCACGGAGCTATTGGAAGCTGCAACCCAAAAAATCTCATCCGCCCCGGTCAAACCTGCAACCCACGAACAGCAATTTCAGGACAGCGCCAATTCAGTTGTGCGTGATGGTGGCATAAGTAAATGTTTGATTGTTCTGGCCGGGTGGCATTCAATTTATGTATCAAGTAATTTGTGACAACCAGTCAACTTTGTGTTGCACTCTGTTGCGTTCGTTGTCTTGGGACTCTGTGAGATCGGCTTGCAATTTGGAGGCCACATTGGTCGCATTCGTGAGATTGCCCTGGCATGTGGCGAGGTCAGCCAGCACGCAAAGGGTCCAATTTAAGCTGGTAGCACTGGGAGCCGAGGATCGTGCTACGGCTGTACAGAGAGATCCTGAAGGAGGATACTGCAGTGGGTGCCGGTACGAAGATGAAGAAGCGCGAGGGGATGCCAAAGCAGAAGGCTAGAAGGTACAGTCGTAGTCAGTCTGACGGCCTCCGCTTTAGTCTCTTAAGCCATCACCGTTGCTCCTCTTATAAGACTACCTGTCAGAGGATACCCTAATAGTTGCCTGGAACTGGAGTGCTTTGCAAAGTTCTGGTGCTCTCTACCATGAAATGGTCACCATCCATCCATCTATCTATCTGTTGGGCGGCTTTCTCAGACGAGCGACGAGCCAAGCAAGGCTTGAGGCAGCGTGGAGAGTTGTTGGTAGGAAAGAGGATTAAGAAGTGCGTGCAAGGGGAAGCCAAGCAAAGTATAGGATACTAGTATTAATAGTCTGACGGGGCCTGCACTTGCTTTGGACTCATCTTTCTCTTTTCAGGCAGGCTGGGTGGGGGCTGGGGCTGCCTGTGAGAGCGTAAAGAACATACAGTACATTACCAGTAGTCTAGTTAACGTATCTCCAAAGAACAGGGAACAGGACGAGAAACCAATCGTCATTGTACAAGTTTATTCTAGCCAGCCACAAATGAGGCAGTGTAGAAAGCGAGGCACAGACTGCAATAGTAACGCAAGCCCTGGTTTGTTGTTCCTACTGTACTGTACTACATGTATGATTTCACTAGTAACCTGGTTTGTTTTGCTATTGTTATTACAGTAGTATGTATTACTTTACTGAGCAAAAACAAAGGAAGCTTGCTTGTTGGTGAGCTTTCCGTAGACAGCGGCAAAGGTCTCGGTCTTGGCTTCGACGTTGGCTTGATCCTTGCTATCGAGGAATACCTTGAGGACGCGTTTACCGTCAATCTTGACACGAGTTCGCTTTCCCACAATTTCGGTAGGATAGCAGATATCATCTAGAATGGCATCTTGTACTTTGGTCAAAGTACGACTGCGAGGACGAGGTCCCTTGGTCTTTTGATTGCGATTGTAGGATTTTCCCAAAATGGTGCGTTGGGCAATGATGAGGACGTGCTTGCCGGAGAATTTCTTTTCCAACTCTCGAACCAATCGGGTGTGAATCTTTTGAAAGCTCACCAGGAGCTTGTAGGGAACGTAGAGGAGAATGGCCTTTTGACCGGCACCCGTGTCGACTTCCTTGGCGGCGGTAATGTAAAGGTTTCGAAGCGATGCCTTGAGTTCCGTAGACGTCATCTCCAAGTTCAATAGCTCTTGAGCTACTTGAGCTTCAAACTCGTCGGGTTCCTGCGATAACAGTAGTAGCAGTAGAAGAAGAAGAAAAAGAGCGTGAGACGATGTGGTTCATTGGCTGCCAGAGTGATCGGTCCACTCCGTCGTTGTCCGACTACAAGCACACTACTTACCCCGCTGCTCTTTTGGATCTTTTGCAGACTCATCTTGGTTTCGTTAGTTTGGTTTGAATAGAAAGAAAGCAAAGCTATACAACTAACAGTCGGTCAGTCAAGTCAGTCCAACAAGACGATGTTGAACAGAGATCAGAACAACCACCAAAGAGGCAACAAAGATGGAGGGGACAACAAAAGGAGCGACGATGCGAGAGAGCCACACAAGCAAAGCAAGAGAAATTTGAGTAAGCGGTAAACAGAGTGGTCTGTCAGTCTGTCAAATCTGACTCGTCAATCACGCACTGATGAACTCGTGACTTACACTGACGTCATACGCTTGGCTCTTCCCTCCACCAACCGCCATGAAAGAACCCAAGTGTCAAGAGACCACTTACTTTATCAAATCCATTCGGTAATTTCCAAAAAGATTGATAGCAAAGATCCACTAAATAGTACAATACCGCTGCTAACATGTCTTCCATGAGGAGGAACCACTGTGGTGTGGCTACAAGCTTGTCGCTGTTGTCTGTGTTTTCGGTGTTACTGCAGGTGGCAGTCTCCTTTAGTTTTCTTCCGTCGCCACCAATCTCCACAAGATCTACCGTTGGATTGTGGGCACGTCGATCATCCCCCAACTATCCACAAAACAGCAACAACAGCAATAAACGATCCCAACCAAGACGAGGACGAAACCAACCACCAAGATGGAATGACAATTACGATCAAGAGGACGACAAGGAAGATTACAATGATAATTTTGTGCAACAAGAATTTGAAGACTACGATGATTTCGATTTTGACATGGACGACGACAGTAATGAGCTCCCCCGATTTGACATTGACTCGGCTACTGATGATAACGACAATACTAATAATGAGCAGGCAGGAGCTCATTTCTATAGTCGCAAGGACATCAAGGATACTTCGTTTCTTTTGGATCCAGAGAATTCCCAAGCGGTCTTTTTCAATCTCTGCCATGGTGCTAGCATCACACGGCCTTCCAAGATACAATCCGTGGCATGGCCTACCGTACTCAAGGGAAAGCATACCATTATTGCAGATCAAACTGGATCCGGTAAGTTATCATTACTGATACATGTATGGAAAAGAAGCAGCCACACCACCGAAACTCATCCAACCCATATTTTAATGTTTTTCTTGGGTACCATTCATACATGCTTATTATATATTACAGGCAAAACACTCGCCTATCTGATTCCCCTGTTGCAACGAGCTCTCACAACTCTTAAACCATCGGATCAAAAAACTCCCAATGGAGCACCAAGGATCTTGGTACTCGCCCCGACGGCCGAATTGGCCGATCAAGTCCGGGCCGTTTGTGATTTGCTTTCGAGTACAATTCCATTTTCCACCATGGTCGTTACCGCCACGGGCAAATATTCCACGTCGATTCGTGATCAAATTCGAATGCTGGCACGACAACCCGTCGATGTCCTTATATCCACGCCGGGACGATTGTCCACCATTGTGCGCACACGAAATTCCGGATTGGATCTCTCCAGTCGATTGCAAGCGGTCGTTTTGGATGAAGTGGATATTCTCATGGCCAGTACTACTAGTACTGACACGACTACTATGGATACTGACGATCAACAACAACAACAACAAGACAGTCGTACATTTGGACCTCAATTGCGGACCATTGGACAAGCGGTCAATGTCGAGAAAACACAATTCGTATTTGTCACGGCCACGTTGCCCGACAGTATCGTGAAAACTGTCACGTCCGAATTCCCACAGGTCGTTCAAGTACGAGGACCGGGATTGCACCGTGTGGCACCCAGTCTGACGGAACGATTGATTGACGTGTCCGTGCCACCCGCGTCCAGTAACGCCGACAAGTTGGGATTGCAAGTCAAGGCACAACAACTATTGCTGACGCTCCGCATGACACGCTGCAAACGCACTCTTATTTTCTGCAATACGGTACAATCCTGTCGTGCCGTCGAAAATGTATTGAAACGAAGCGATCGCAAACGACAAAAATACGACGTACGAGCTTATCACAATGCCATGACACCGGAAGCACGCAATCGAAATCTCGAAATATTTTCCAATGCGCAACAACAGCGACACAATAATAACAACAAGCAAGACTTTGATTCCATTTTGGTCTGTACCGATCGAGCTGGACGCGGAGTCGATTTTGGAGCCGCTCCCGTCGATCACGTCGTTTTGTTTGATTTCCCACGGGATCCCGCAGAATATGTGCGACGAGTGGGACGAACTGCCCGAGCGGGAAGAGAGGGGACATGTACAGTTCTGGCGTATGGATGGCAATTGCCCATTGCCCGATCCGTCATGGGCAAAAACACACTGGCACAACATGTATCCGGCCTGGATAATGATGATGATGACAATGCAGCGGTCGAATTCCGTGGAGGAGTCCAAGGAAGACGGCAGCATAAAAAGAAGAAACAACAACAACGAGGCAGCAAGAGCAAGAATTCACGAGATGCGGTCGTCAAGAGCAACATTGAAGGCGGGAGACTGTGGAAAGGATAAAGATATTAAAACTAACATGACAACTTACGCGCAACGATCAAATAAATGTCACGGACAGCAAAAGTGCATCGCTTCGGAGGTGGACGGCAAGAGAGTCTGCTGGCTTGTGCTCCGACGTGAAGGTTCGGGTGACAATTCGAAGATACGTCGACTTCTGCTAGCCTTTCCACTGAACTACGCTGTACCTACTGGACACTGCCTGGACGTTTTTCAAATCAATCCAGGACATGGGCCCTGCTGTATGTACGGCAGCTGGCTGAATCGCATCGCCTCTGAACTACTATGCCACCAAAAGAGTCGCCCTACTCCACAGCATACAAAGTGGTACCGTAATTTGCACAAATAGCTGTCATTGGCCTTTTCAAAAAATCCGCAACCCCATCATCGCGCCCGCTTGATTTTCGGGCTTTTGTGAGAATCAGAGATTGAATCATCGACGGAGATCACAATTATTATTTGTCCTCCATACACGTGTACTTTCACTGCAGTTTAGTTTCTGTTGACAGACTTGGTAGAATCACTTCACCATGGCGTCGACAAGGCCTGCATGGAAACGCCGCCGTACCTCTTGTGGAGAGTACCAGAATCACCAGCCAGCCGTGGTTGGGTCCTCGCACATGGTTGTCCAGCCTGCTGAGGAACCAAGAGAATCTTTGGTGGCACCAAAGCTTGAAGGGATTCCTCATTTGCTCTTTGTGGAACTCCAGAAGAATAAACCAGAATACGTGGTTGCAGCTTTGAATCAAATCCATGATCTGTTCCTTCCAAAAGACAAGAAAGATAAGAACGACCCAGCCTTCAAGAATCGGGTGAAAACCCAGCACCTTGGTCCCATCAGTGTTGTGGTTGTCAACATGCGCAAATGGGCCCCAAACCATTATATCCAGCTCTGGTCATGCAGAGTTCTTTCTGTGCTAATGTTCTGTTCTAAGAATTCCTGCATTGCAGAGTCAGCCATGGTGGAATCTGGAGGTGTTGAAGCTGTTCTCAATGCCATGAAGTGCTTCCCCCGTTTTGGAAGTCTAATCATGTTTGCCTGTTGTGCCCTCAGGAGCACTTTTATGCCATTGGTCACACGACCCACAGTTGTAAAAGACTGTGCACTCCGATTTGTGGAAGAACTTGACGGAACATCTCTCATGCTTCAGACTATGAAAGAGTTTCCGGAAGACACATGCATTCTTGATAACTGTTGTTGTTTATTCTCCAATCTGGCTACTTGCTTCAAAGAGCATCATGGGATGTTCATTGATGCTGGAGTTGTGGAAGCTGTAGCTTCAGTCCAAAAGAAGTATTCCCAAGATAAAAAGCTGCAGGTATCTACCAAATATTTCATGGCAACCATGTTCTCTCTTGAGTCCTTGACTCTGTTAATTGAATCTTCTGTGCCTTCTCTTTGCTGGAGTATGCAATTAGCTATGTCTATATTACAGCTGTTTGATGCTTTGGTTGGAAGACTTGTCAGTAACCTTTAAAATAGAACTTTATAGCATCGAGTCTGAACAAATGGGCCATCTTCCACAGCTACAGAAAACTTGGAATAGGCAACATCACTTCCAGCTCCAAAAGATTCCGGTGCGTGCGGTTTGGTTGAACCATCTTGGAGAAATCCAGATTTACAAAAGTCAGATAGAGTTGTTTGTTGGTGTAGGGATTATCTACCTGAAAGCCAGAGAGTTGGCAGACTTTCAATCTGGTGACCAAGCATCAGGCATTCGAGCATGCCCTACGGTACTCCTATTTTTGATTCAACGTCCTCCAAAACTATTTGGTGTATGCCCCCAGCGTGGATCTCCTCCTGGAAGAAGCCAAGTATACCCTCAAACACACCGTAGAATAAGACTATCCTATAAAGTTCTATTAATGCTACTGACAAGCCTGACATCCAAAGCGCCAAAGAGCTACATAATAGAGATAATTGCAAACTCCAGCAAAGGGAAAGCACAGCAGATTCCAGACTCAAGAGAACATGGCAGACATGAATTTTTTAGTCGCTTCCTTCAGCTCTTCATTGTCGGAATGCTTCTTTTGGACTGAAGCTACAGCTTCCACAACTCCAGCATCAATAAACATACCATGATGTTGTTTGAAGGAAGCTGCCAGATTTTTGAATACCAGGCAACAATGCTCGAGAATGGATGTGTCTTCAGGAAACTCTTTTATAGTTTGAAGCATGACAGCTACGCCTTCGAGTTCTTCCACAAAGCGAGCGGCACAATCTTTTACAACTTTGGGTCGCTTAATCAAACTGAGAAATGTGTTCCTCAGGGCACAACAGGCACGCTGGATTACAACCTCAGATTGAGGAAAGCTCTTCATGGCATTGAGAACAGCTTCAACACCTCCAGATTCCACCGTGGCCATCTCGGCAATGCAGGAATTGTTAGAACAGGAGTTTTTAGAACAGACCATTAGCACAGAAAGAACTCTGCATGACCAGAGCTGGATATAATGGTTTGGGGCCCACTTGCGCATGTTGACAACCACAAAGCTGGGGGGACCAAGGTGCTTTGTCTTCTCCCAATTCTTGAGGGCTGGGTCATTCTTGTCTTTTTTGTCTTTTGGGCTGAACAGATCAAAGAGTTGCTTCAAAGCTGCAACAATATCTTCTTCTTTATCCTTCTGAAGTTCCACAAACAGCAACTGAGGAATCTCTTCAAGCTTTGGTGCCACAAAAGATCCAGAATCTGGTTCCTCAGTAGGCTGGACAACCGTGGGTGAGGATCCAACCACAGCTGGCTGTGGATCCAACTCTCCCGAGGTACGGCGACGTTTGGATGCAGGCTCCGACGACGCCATGGTGAAGTGGGGTGAAAGTGCTGTACTAGTACTAGTACCTGGGAAGGCCACCGTGCTTGGGTTGGTAGCTTCGTTGCACGACGTGGCCAGCGGGTGTCGGGTGTAATCTTAACAACGAGGCATCGTTGAACTCGATTATTATTCTTAAAACCGCAAGATCGAAAAGTCCATGGCTCGAAGTGTCCAAGCTACAGAATTGTTGGGTTGTCAGCAAATCTTTGTGAGGTAGCTGGGGTAATGGTTTCCTGGTTGAGGTCGAATTCCTGCCCAGACCAGTGCTTGCAGGTACGGGTAACGCTAGTCTAGTTTGGTTGGGCAGCTCTTTTCAGGGCGAGCACACTGATACCATCGATCTTGTATATCCATCAAAAACATGATTTCAAAAGTAACACGAGAAGTAGCCCGCTGTTGTTTGTACGGTAGTTCAAGTATGCGCTTCAATCAAAAAGGTATGTTGAATGATGCTCAGGTTAGACGTGATCAATCGGTTGGCACGGTAGCGGTATTATAGCAACTGCCGGAAATGGCTGCTACTCTCTAGTAGCTCTAGCTAGCAGCACGACCGCAACACTGGTACCAGCAGTCGCAGGTAAAATATTACCTGGTATGTGCCAGATCTTGTCTGAGGCAATATTGCATGTAATCAGGATTCCTTTAAAAAACAAAACCCCAATCTCCCATTCAGCTTGGGTCCCAGTCACAGTCATTTGAGATGTGGCTTAACGTGGCTTTACTAAGTCTTTTGGTCATCTGTTTGTTCTCTGTGACCTGCGATGGCCTTTCCGTCAAACCTTTCTCTTCATATGCGCACTCCTGTTGGAGGGTGCTGGTACTTGCGAAGGAAATTAGTTGAGTGACGTGTTGGTAGATTAAGATTACCCCTTTGTTAGGAGTCAATCACGAAGAAAGGCTTGAGTTGAAGGAGCCATAACATGTTTGTTACCCTCTTACCAGGAATCTCAGTACCAGTAGTTACTTAAGAACCGGTATTGCCTCTTTCTACTGTACTTATTAGCGGCATGGCCATCAAGACCCAGCGCGGCTTGCTTCCGCATCCGCCATCGCCACATCCAATCCCAAAAGCACACTCCGCACAGTTTTGGCTACAAACTGCTTTGGCTACAAACTGTTGTTTTCTACCCTACGGCAGCAACCAACAACAAGAGCGGATACTCGGAGCCTCGACAAACTGAAACTGCTAGCTAGGGATTTTCACAATTGCAACATACCGAGCAAAGCAACCACACCAGTTTCAATTAGTAGTCGAGCAACCTTTCTTTTAAAGTACCATGTCGTCCACAGCAGCAGCAGCAGCCAAGAAGAAGCGCAAGCACGAAGAATTGGCAGCTGCGGAAGAAGAAGAAGCAGATAGTAGTTCCACGAGTGGTAGTAGCGAGGAGGACGATGATGAGTCGGAAGAAGAGGCGAAACCGCTCAAGATTGTGGTGCGACGGGTCGGCAAGGCGGAACGAGAATCACTCGAGTTTGAAATGGACGACACTGCCAACGCAGCTACCGTGTTGGACCTCAAGAAACGCATCACGACGGCTCTCAAAGACGCCGGCGAAGAAGACGAGGTTCCGCACGACCGCCAGCGGTTGATTTTCTCGGGTAAGATGCTCCGTGACGACACGCAGTCGTTACAGGGCGATCTCAAGATGAAGCCCGACAACAAGATCTTTGTCCATTTGACGCCACTTCCGAAAGGCGTGGCTCCCAGTGTCCGGACCGCGCGAGAGCTGTCGGAGAATCCATCGCAAGAACCCCGTCGTGTGGCCGTGGCAGCTCCGCTTCGTCGCCGTCGTCGAACATCTTCGCAGCCGACAACAAGTCGTCCGGGAATGATGGACCCGGCGGCGTATCATCCGTATGCGCTGGACTTGGGGGGTGGCTCGTTGGTACCTCCGGCTGTAGCCGCGGCGGCTCCTGGCGGTCAAGACGACACGGCAGCACTGCTGGCCGCGGCGGTGGCGGCGGCCGATCAAATTCGCGTCTCGCAAGATCAACAAATTCGAGAGTTGGTCAATCGCATCAATTTGGATAATATTCCCGTTGATGTCCTCGCTCGAGCGGTGCTCGTGACATTTCGATTGGATCAACCGCCGCCGCCACAGCAACGACAGCCACAGCAAAATTCGCTCTCGTCCTTGTTGGGCGTTGCCGCAGCGCCTGGATCGGCCGCATCGATTGCCAATGAAATTAGTCGCGTGCTCTGTCCTCCCACTGCTGTCAATAGTAGTACAGCTCGACCCGCGGGATTGGACGAAACCACGTTGGCGCTCTTGGAAGAAGCGGTGGGTGGGGGTGGACGTCCCCCATCGGCTCTGTCGTCCTTGTTGCGACCACCCGAACCCGAAGCCTTGGCGAGTAATCCCGCTATTGCCAGTTTACTCCAAGAATTGTACGCTCGTCCCACCACTGCTGCGGTCAGCAACAACAATGGAAACAACAACAACAATCACAACAATAATTTGGCGCAAATGCTCGATCAAATTGCCGCCAATGCCGGAGATTTGGCCAGTTTGTTGCGACGACAGCAACAACAGCAGCAACAACAACAAGACACCAGTGTGGCCCGCATGCCCGCACCCGTCGTGTCGTCGAATGCGCATCAAAATGCCGCCGCGGCATTGATTGAGCAACTCTCGTCGCCACATCAACAACAACAGCAGCAAAATAGTACTGCCAATGCCAGTCTGTGGGAGCGACTGTCGGCGGCCGCGCCGCCGGCATCAACGGCATCCTTGCTGGAGCAACTGACATCAGCGTACAGTCCGCCCTCGTTGATGGAACAATTGGCCGCCTCCAATCCGGTGGTGGCGCAACAGCCAACGTCGTCCTTGCTCGAACAATTGTCGTCCCATCAAAATGTAGCGGCATTGTTGGGACAAGCTGCACCGGTGGCGGCAGCACCCCCTGCCGAAGCTCCACGAGCGACACTCGAAGAGCAACTCGCGAATATGTTGCGGTCCAATGCGACCGCATCGAGTGGTACCAATCCTCTGGGATTTTTGCCGTTCTAAAGAAGACTCGAGTACGGTATGTTGTCCTAACCTACATGGCACACACACACACGAGATCAACGGCGACGCGTTGATTACTACGGTGGAACCAACCAAAACGTGAACTGCAACTCCTGAACAAGGTAATCGTTATGCCGGAGTTGCAGCCTCACATCTGAAGGGTCTCGGCCCTTGTTTCTCTTTTTAATATACATAATAATGATTCTATAGAGAAGAACACACTACTGAATAATTTGTACAGCCCATCGATTCTTTCGCATTCCGGAGTAAAGATAGTGCTCGTTACAATCGAAAGGTCACCTCGAACGCAGCGGTAGAAGCTAGCCAACGCTGCAGAAGGTATGGTGCATGTGCACGCCACTTCTTCGACGGTCCACTTTTTATTTTTAAACGAGCAATTGTTTGTCCCACCGAATACCGGATACCTCATGGAGCGAAACCGACCAGATGGAGGACCTCAATTCATTCGATGCGATTCCATTCTATTCATGATTCGTTGTCCACGGAGCCTCTCTCTGATTGAATCATTCGAGCGATTCCAATAGAAACAATCTATCTGCTCAATGCTGTTTTCGAAGCAGTCGCGCAGTTTATCAGCTTCAAAGCAATTTCTTTGTAGGTTGTGTGCCAAATTTGTGATGCCCAAGTCTCATCATTGCCACTTCATACATTACGTCAACGCAAAGACCAACGGCCCCAGCACCCATCCACCAATAGCTGTGGTGATCAAACTACTGACAAAGTTGACTTGTTCATTGGTCAATAGATTGATCCCAGAGAGCAACTCGGCTGTAGCAGGGAGGTCCTCGCTATTGGCGTGATACGTCATTTTCTTATCCGAATCGTAGTAGGAACTTTGGAGGGTTGCTCCCAGCAAGGAATCTGCCAGGGATCCCACCACCCCAGAAACTGCCCCGAGTAGAATCATGGGAAGAACATTGGACGGCACAAAGATCCCACTCAAGAAATCCATGAGCACGGTCAACAGTCCAATGACGGCCCCGCCGGCCAAACTCCAAAACGTTCCCAAGACCGTAATGCCCCCATTCGTCCCAGCGGGAACACGTCGCCAAGGATTGGTAATGAGGATTGGAGTGGTCTTCGAAAGAATCCCCAGTTCACTTGCCAGTGTATCCGCGAGACACGTAGCATGATGTGCCAAAATACCACAGGTCAAGGATGCGGCGAGATTGTTGTTGTCATTGTCATGATGAAAGACAATGGGCTGTTCGGCGCCACACCATAGAGCATGCATCAACGACAGTGCGACGGGTGTGATGCTCACGGCCAACACTTGGGGCACTCCTCGGGCGGCATGTCCTGCCAATGTCGCATCTTTTTGTTCTTTTGCGAGTTTGTTGTATTTCGTGGCCATACTACCAATTTGGTAAAAGAAAAAGAGGACCATGCCTCGGAGCCCCGTGCCCACAATCAAAAATCCAACGGCACTTCCCGCGACGGCACCCGACGGTGTCAGGTTCTTCTTTCGGTGAGCACGAATGGCCAATGCCAGAGTAATGGCAATGGCCATGGGCGTTGTGACGACTCCAAAGGGGTCCATCTTTCTTTCTTGATTGCTTGGGTCCTACCGGTAGCTGTGCTTAGCTAGCTAGCACGGTGGAAAGTTACTATGGAATAGAGAGAGCTGAGATGAGGAAGAAGAACATAAATACTAAATAGATACGTTAAGGAGCGAGGGGGGCGAGGCTACCGGTGGGCAAAGCAGTGGCTGCGGTGGTGGGTGGCTGGTGTGGTGGGCATACGGGGAGAGCAATGAGGACGCGAGCAGGGCAAAACAAGGGGGGCAGGGAAGGGGGGTGCATGGAGGAAAACCAGGAAGGACAAGGGAGCAAAATTAGCGGAAGAGTGCAAGTGCACCATCGGCATCCCAGAGAGAACGACGGTAGCTCATTGTGCCAGCAGGGACACGAGAGCCACGCATGCAGAGGTGGCGGGCCCGAAGAATAGCTAGGCTGAGCCGAGCATTAACGTAGCCACGCACCACTGAGTAAGGGCGTTCCCACTTTGCAGCGAGCAAAGCGGAAATACGTTTCGCGAGTGCCTCAGCTTCGGCCCCAAGGAGACCATCAGCAGAGACAACAAACGGAGTAAAGTGGCGGCGTTGGGAAAGACAGGCGTCGAGATACTTGCGTTTCTTGTCACGTTCGCCATTGCGAAGGACCTTGTCAGGATCCTTGCGACAGTGAGAAGCAGCATCAAGATTGATGACACGAACATCAATTATGCCGTCAGTTCCGCATTGCCAGAGGCCACGGATAAGGAGATCACCTCGTTCCTCGGATGGGGTGAGAACTACAGAAGAGTCGCTGGAAGGCGAAGCATCCGTAGCTGCAGAGCAACTAAGTTGGATACGGGGTTCGTTGCGAACTGCAGATGGGATGAATGCCTTGGCAGCGAGATCACCGAGTTCATCACGCACTTCATTGTGGCGTTGGAGAACCAGACCGCCCTTGGTACAGGAAAGGGCGTGAGTGACACTGAAGCGCTCTCCACAGCCATCACAGTGGCTGGGAAGATCAGAGGGGCTCCGATCGTAGCGCAAGTGCAAAGCATCGCGGAATTCCTGGGCAGCGAGAACAGTGCCATTTTCTGGCACTGGAACCACATGAAGCCAGGCGCCAGTCTCCGGGGCGCGCTTCACAACAGAACGACTGGAACGTGGCAAGGTACCTAAGACCTTGTGCAGGTTCACAGCAGCTGCAGCTTCGCGGCGAGCGCGAAGAGCCTCATGACCATCAGACACTGCCTGACGGTGATCCACAATGCGGAATTCTTCGGAGGGATCACACAGACTAGCTGTGATCACACTGCAGATGTCCTGACTAGCACTACGATTTTCATCGATAGTGCTAGTGGGATTGGGAAGAGCGAGGCCAGCTGCTTTTGCAATACACGGCTCTTAGCCTTATTCGCGACTCGATCCTAGATAGGGTTTGAGTTCGACTCATGACTGAGTCTCTCGTGAATAGTCATTGAGACAGGGTTCTCAATGACCGCTCTAGTCATACTAGGTTGATGATGAAACATCGCTCTAGATATTTAGCCAGCGTGGAGTACTTCCACGCTACTAGAAATGCTAGACGAATCTTCACGCGTTCCGTTTTTGGATCGTGGAGTGAGTAGGATTGCTACCGCAACTACTCTATCACACTCTACAGCTCCCCGGGAGTTCAGATCTACGATCCTTTGATTGTAGTTCTCTCGTTGATTAGTTTTTCATAGCTTTCTAATCCTCTCATAACTTCATTCTCTCAAACCAAAAACTCGAAAGATCTTTACACTAGCTTTTACGTAGCATTTTGTTACAAAACACAATAGCTTTCAGCTACCTCAACCTATTCCTCACATGAAGATTGCCAAAGAGCATACACAGCTTCGAGTCTAAGCTGCGTGACAAACCAATCCCTCCTCCATCGACCTCGACGATGAAGCGAAATCGACGATTCTCGCCTACCACCTACAAACTTCGCACTGTTCCAGCAGATGCTAACAGCGCCAAGTACACCTTAAGGTCCAAATCATCAATGGATCTGAGACTCCACGTCAACCATCAAGTGGGCTGGACGCATGGAAGAGGTCTCTCGTTGGGCTCGCCATTGCTACCCTACCGACAAACATAACCTCCTCAAGGAAATGACTTCTAGCTCTGCAAAGAGCAGTTACGAATCTAGCTGTGCAGGCCACCGTGAACTACGTTGGAATGCCTTGCGCCAGATTGCAGTCAAACGATTCCTCCACGCGACATACGTGGCGTGAAGACAAGCCACTTTCCAAGCACGTTTCCAGAATGCCTGGACGGAGCAGCTCAGCCTGCTTTGGACGACACTGACATTACGTTCGGCATAAATGCCTGTGTCGAAGCGGTCTGTCCCTACAAGGCTCTTGAAAAGCAGAAACGCTTCATGGCCGCAAGATGCGTAAGCCTGCTGAATGTCTACTCGGGCTTATGTCAAACACCTCAGTCGGATGAACACGATGAACTTCCTCGTCTACCACCTTTTGGACCCAACCAAACGTTGAACCATGACGAAGTCATTGACATTGTTGTCATGGAATTCCACGCTCGTGAATGAAGAAGATGGACGAACAGACTTCGATCCTTTCTCAGCTCCTATCGGAGAAACATTGGATTCTGCGAACGCATGGAATCCTCCGAAGACTTTGACAAAGGCGGTGATACCAAGCAAGCTCCTTCGAAGAAGAACAACAGCAAAAGTACAAGTCTACTCGCAACAACGACCACTCTTCCAAGAACGAAGAAAAATGGTGCGACTACCACGAGTCCAGCACTCACAACACTGCTGACTGCATGACTCTGAAAAGCTCAAGGCCAAGTCTCAGTCCTCGTCTGACAACGATAACAAGCCAGCGTACAACAAGAACAGACTTGGAAACCAAGTCCGACGACGCCAAGACCTACACCAAGAAGGAACTCTCTGTCCTTATGAAGAAAGTTTCCAACGCTGCGGTCAAGGCTGATCGCAAGAAGAAAAGCGAATGCAACCATGTTGCCAAGCGCAAGTCAGACAAACTCCGACAACGAGGACGACTCCTCTGTTGGATCCATTAACATGATGGACAAGAAAATGCTGCTGTTGACAAGGCGCTTGCCGAATTCGATTTCAATCATTCGGATGGAGAGATCTCCGTTGAGGATTAGGCCAGGATTATGATTCAACGGAACCATGTTCCGATTCTCATACACTAAGTGATGAAGATATCTCACTAAATAGTAAACAAGATTTGTTTGCAACTAATGAAGTCTACGGCAAATTAGATAATTGCCTAGCAACTACTCAACTAGACAATGACGATTGTTCAGCATCGTTAACTTCGTCCATGGCCAATCAACTCATCAACGTCGCAAGACAAGAGACCTCGAAACTATGTCTATGTTAGATTTAACAGACGAGAGAAAGGGAAACAAAAACCCGTTACACTCTGTTGCTTACTGGATACAGGAGCATCCGGAACTTTATTACTCAAACTCATGCTAAGAGTTTACTCATGAAGAATCATGGGGCGTCCAAACATTACGGACTGCTTCTATAAGGAATTGAAACCCCGCACGAAGTGTAAGGGCACACTCGTGATTCCTGAGTTCCACGATAATAGAATTTCGAATGAATTTACACGTCACCAAGAACTTGGGGGCGCAAAAATGATCATAGGTCAAGACACTCTCTGCGACCCAAGAATCAACTTGATTTCACTACCATGTCATGGGGTGGAACCGCGCATTTTTCCTGCGAAAGAGTGCGATACCAATAGAAAGGAGAAATTCCCATTCCCGATCCTTGCAGCTGTCAGCGACAATGCAGATGTCTCAAGAAGATTCTTGATACGACATACGAACAAATAGACTTAAGCAGATGTGCCAGAGTCGAAACCCGTTAAATAAGGAAGAGCAAGAACTGCCTCATGCCTTTTCAACCAAGTGCTTCGACCCAGTCGAGGATACTTTGGAGAGTTGCGAATGGACGACTACGAAGTAGAACTTCGTCCCGACGCTAAATCCTATTATACTAGGGCTCACCCTACTCCACGGGTCCATACCAACACTCTTAAGAAGGAGGTTGAACGTCTCTGCGAGGCAGGAGTACTCAAGAAGGTGAATCGTTCCAAGTGGGCGGCACCAACTTTTATCATTCCCAAGAAAGAGGGATCTGTACGATTCATCTCTGATTTTCGGGAACCGAACAAAAGGATCAAGCGGAAGCCTTATCCTATCCCAAAAATACAGGACATGCTCTTGAACCTAAATGGATTCAAGTGCGCTACTAGTCTAGACCTGAACACGGGACACTACCACATCGAGCTGTCACCTCACTCGAAGCAACACTGTACCATTGCACTCCCGAGGGGAAAGCACGAGTACCAGAGGTTGCCAATGGGCCTATGTAATAGTCCCGACATCTTCCAAAAGAAGATGAAAACACGCATGCATGACTTAGAAAATGTCCGTGCATACATTGATGATCAACTCATCCTAACTGACGTCGATCTGGCGGATCGCGTTGAATAGTTAGATGACCTTTTCCAAAGACTTCAAGAAGTCGGGGTTGAAATCAACACTACCAAGGCCTTCCTCGAAAGGAAGAACTGGAGTATCTAGACAGTTGGACTACTCGAGAAGGAATCCAACCCTTAACTAAAAAAGATAACAGATGTGATCCAGCTATCGCTCTTCCTACCAACAGGAAGGAACTTCGTAGATTCATTGGACCAACGAACTACCAAGGGCTGCTCCAAGACAGCAGACGGAGTAACCACCGTTCTGAAACAGACGTGGTTTACCCAGTATCCATGACCGGTTGTCATGGAACAGAGAACGTGAGTCCCGTGCAGAGGTCGAGAAGACTCTCCGGGATGAACATGGACTTCGTCGCAAGTTCACGCGCGTCAATCGTGACAAGACTCACTACATCCGTTTCAAAGCAAACCGGAAATACATTAAGGAACGTCGCCAACGACTTATCCAGAAAAACACCGATAAGGAGAACACGACACGTGTCCCTCATCAACACCATGTCAACGATACTATGATGATTCATCAGTATCAAAACCGTTAGTACGGTCAGCCAACGCACAAGGTCCTTACCACACAGACCGAGTCAATAACAATGGCACTGTACGGCTCCGACATACTACCGCCAGTAGCGGCACAGTCTACCAGACTTGGAACATAAGGTATTTACACCCATACAAGGCCTGATCCCCTTGTAGGATTGCCATCGTGCGACGCACATGTCTACATCCAATCTCCGGAGAGTGCCCCGCACTTTAATTAATATGTTCTCCTTGTCCGACTGATGTCGTACCTTCCGTGACCCTTGTCAGGGGGCGAATGCAATACACGGCTCTTAGCCTTATTCGCGACTCGATACTAGATAGGGTTTGAGTTCGACTCATGACTGAGTCTCTCGTGAATAGTCATTGAGACAGGGTTCTCAATGACCGCTCTAGTCATACTAGGTTGATGATGAAACATCGCTCTAGATATTTAGCCAGCGTGGAGTACTTCCACGCTACTAGATAAATGCTAGACGAATCTTCCACGCGTTCCGTTTTTGGATCGTGGAGTGAGTAGGATTGCTACCGCAACCTACTCTATCACACTCTACAGTCTCCCGTGGGAGTTCAGATCTACGATCCTTTGATTGTGGATCTCTCTCGTTGATTAGTTTTTCATAGCTTTCTAATCCTCTCATAACTTTCATTCTCTCAAACTCAAAACACTCGAAAGATCTTTACACTAGCTTTTAGCGTAGTGCACTTTGACTGGCAAGCTGGTGAGTTGGCGGGCGGGAAGCTCCGAAGGAGCGACCCCAAAAAGTGCTGGGAGGAAGGTGGTGGCGATAGCGGCCTCGATGGCTAAGATGAGGATGGGGACAGAGCTATTAATAGTGCGGTGTGGGAACCACGGAACGTCAACAGGAGACAAGCCAGAACAGAAGTTGAGGTAAAACATTTTGGACCCCGTCGGCCTCGTCGGTCTGGGATCCATACAAGACTGGTTTTGATGCACCCAGTGCCTTCTGCTACGTCACAGGCTCTATAATCGATGAGTGGAAATCCACGTGAACTCCCATTGTGGTGCGAAGCAGCTGTGCTGGTTTAGCCAGGTGGAAGAATCGCTGTGACATCTGTATACTCCAACAGTAAGGTCAGCAGTGCAGCCATCTGGCAATACAGAAATAGCTGAGGAACTCTATATACCCAATGATGATGCTGTTCCTCAGCCAAGACCAATATAGAAAGTTAGCTTGCCAGCACCAGCCAAATGAGATGCAAGAGAGCCAAAGCTGCATGGCTGAGTGCTGTCGAGGATTTTGTGTACATGTTATAGTTTAAAGAAGAAGAAGTAATGAAAGGATAGTTGACCAGATACAGCCTCAGTAGCACTAGTTTCCCCACAGTTGAAGCCTTCCTGTGTGGATTGTGCCAAGGCAAAGAGTAAGTTGTTCAATCATTGCCGTGGAGATTGAATAACAGTGGCAGCCAGCTTTGTGGCTGGCACACATTCCCAAGTGCCAGAGGAGTGAGACCTCCAAGCAGAGCTCTCCACTCCCAGCTCCTTGTGCATCTACCCTGACTGAATCTCATCGGATTAACATTGTCGCAGATTGCAGGCGCAAGGAGTGGCTACGTGAGGAAATCGAGTGAAGAAGAGCGAAGCGAGTTGCCAAATCAGCCGATAGAGACCTGTCGACAGATCGACGACCGAAAACTGGAATCGCGACCGATTGAGCCCAAACCAAGACGGTTTCCTACCAACCTGGACCTTCTCTACAAGACTGTCCAGACAGTTCCTTGTTAATCGGCATCAGTCAGTCGGCCGACGGCATTTCCTGTTGGTAGCGCCATTGTCGAACTTTTTCGTACGGAAATCCCCAGTCGTGCCTCCGGAGGATACTGCGTGAAAGGGAACCGGTACTCACACGGTACTCACAAGACACCGTACCTCTGTTCCGAAAGCAAGCCGACACATCGCGCGACCAACGTCCTCACAATTTCGTGGATATTCAGAACTCCGTGGGAAGATACGGATCGATCCACTGTTACGAGTGACTTCCAAGGGTAACTCGCAACACCACGAGAGCACCGTACGGTCACTTCGAAGGAATCCAAGGGTACCAGTGTGTCAAGCAGCCTCTGTTTAGTCATTGACTGGCAGTGCAAGACCTCAAGTCTACATTTGGATTTTTCGTGGCAGTTCTTGTCCAACACCTCTACACACTCAGCCAGCACAACAGCGGTCACAATGGGTACCAGTAAAAGCAAGAGGAGGAAGAAGCAACAGCAGCAGCGCCAACAGCAGCAGCTGCAGCAACAGCAACAGCAACAGACACCACCACAGGATATGGCAACACCGTCGGCAACAAATACACCACCGGTGCTACCACCACCACCACCGGCAACACCACCAGGTAGCACTGAACCACCGCCATCCACTCCTGTCAAGTCACCAGTCTCAGTCCACCGGCTACCTGTGGTTCCCCCACCATCTTACCAACTCAGTGGATCATCTGTTGCATCCTCCAACCTTGCCAAGCATGATACCACCATGATTAGCCAACAGCTAGCACAACTGGTGGAGGCATTGCACCAACAAAAGGAGGAGACCATGGAGCGCCAGGCTGCTTTTGAGGCCAGGCTATCCCAACAACAACAGGACATCAACCAGTCTAGTGTCTCCATCCATGGGTTGGTCCATACCTTGATGGACCAAACCAACAAGCAACTTGGCCTCATGGGTATTGGAGGGATCAGCCCTATTCCTTCCAATGCATCCTCTTCATTGGATCACCATCCTAATGGTTTACTGCCCATGCGACAAGGTGTGGAAGGAACCACTGGTTCTATAGCACAGTCTCAAGGCAGTTCAGAACCAATTGGTTTGGGTTCAGGATTGATGAGTGATGTTGAGGACCATCTTGGTCCATCCCCTCAGCCCCAAGTGGATATGGATGGTGCCATCCCACCTTGTGGAGATGAAGTCATTGACCATTTGAGGGCCCTCAAGGAGGAGGATAAGACTACAAAGACTACTTACACCCCTGTACCACCGGTGTCATCCAACCACGCAGCAGCTCAACCTGCTCAACCTGTTAGCAGTACAGCCATCTTCCAATACCCCAAACGGTACCACAGATCTGGAGACGACAACCGGTTCTACAGACAGCCAGATCTCATCTTTCCAGAGGCATTGCCCCACAGGCAGGAAACACACTACTCAGGAAGGTGGATCATCAACCCTGACATGCGGAAGGTATGGGTCCGCTATGATAGGGCACTGAGTGCCGACGAACTCCCTGCCAATGTGCCAACCAACCCTGCACATTGGGTCAACAGAAGGTATCCTGACGGTTTATTCTTCACTGACCAAGGAGAGTGGATCATCTCTGATGTCAGGGATAGGTTCTTCAACCATGATCAGCCACCCACCCACACACCAGTCACCACAGGCCTCACTCCCACCACAGCCTATACCTCACCTGGATACCAGACCGTGCCCATGGAGGAGCCATCCAAGCAGGTAGACAGCGATATTGTAAGGCCCAGGTCCAAACCATCTCTCTTCTCCAATCTAGAAGGGACATCTCCTATGGACAAGGTAACTCAAGGCAGGATTCCAGACAGATTTGGTGATCCTGGAGACCCTGGTGGTTCCGGGTACCATGGTGGTGGTGGCAACCACAGAGGCTTTAGCAGAAAGGGCAGGTATGGTGGTTCCCCAGGAGGAGGACCCCCCGGAGACCCTTGGGATCCCGATGGCGGTGGTGACCCTCCAGCTGGCCCGGAGGAGTGGAGGAGGAGACGGTCCAGACGCAAGTTGTTCCATGCTAAACCGATGCCAATGCTACCCCACCCTCAAGTCCAACAAGGACTTCGACCAATGGTACAGCGTGTTTATAACAACGGCTAGGGCACAGGGATTCTACGCTCTCTTTGACTCCAATATGTGCCATTGGACCAGGAGTCGTTCTGAGCTCCGTAGGATGAACGAATGGTTCTATGCGGTCCTGCAGAAAATCATCAAGACAACCAAGGGCAAGGTGATAGTCAAGGAACATTTTCATGATTGTGACTGCTTTCATATCCTACATGCATTATCCAGGATGCCCACACCTCTTGGAAGGTACACTGGAGTCTGTGGAGACCCTCAACTGGCTCACCAGGGTCAAGTACTCACCAACCAAGGTTCGCAGTGGAGTTCATCATCCACTACGATGAGGTTCTCACACGGTACAATGACTCCAAGACCAACGCAAGGATAAACTCAGTGAAGTATCCAGAAACTGTTCCTGCAGCAGGCTTATCGACATCAAGTCCTCAATGACATCAGCGCCAGAGAACAGGAGAACATGTGCAGTAACGGTGCCCACATGTCCTTTCATATGAGAAATACAAGGAGGTCTTGACCAACGCTGCTACCAGATTTGATGTCAACCACAAGTTCTACCTCCTGGTAGATCTCGCAGAGCCAAATGACTATGATCAAGAGTCTGAGGGTGAAGTCGGGCAACCTGATGGCATGAATAGCCCACAGAGACCCCACTCATCCTCCAAGCGTTTGCGGCCATGAGAGACCCTCTGTCCGGCTCCCAGACAACATTGGACCCAACTTTACAGTACGGGCAAGAAGAATTGGCACAATTTGATGACCACGACAAGAAAGTACTGATGGCATCCCAGCCGCAGCACCCGCGCGTCGCCATCCAACGTTCCAACAGCACAATGGACCCCCACAGCGAAGCTGACCTTACAGTCGGGGACACACCAGGGCTATCATTGGACTAAACCAGGCAGATACGACACCTTCAGTTGGCAAACCTACGGCTTCCCATCACATTCGGCACCCCAGGCGAAGGCAAATGACCAACACCCTGGGGATGTCCGTCGAATGATGTCAACAAACAGGCAAACGGCAGGGTTAACACGTCTCGTTCAGCCCTGATACTGATTCTGCATCACTATCTGCCTTTGCCAGGCCACGGGTGATGACATCGACACCAAGTTACAGGCCTACTGGTCCTCTATCAGATGCCTGTACGTCGGCCTGAACCTGAGCCGGAGCCGGATTTTTGAAGGGGCGTTCTGTTTATGTGCTGACAGGTCCAGCCCAGGAAACCAGGCACCACCCATGCTCGCGGGGTGCATGCCACCTATCTTCGGAGGGCTACCTTCCGCGGCAAATGGCAAGGAACGACCAGTTACTGTGCTGGACCGTTCGTCTCCAGGGCATTCCAGCACGCCCGGTTCTATGATCTACACTGTTTCCAAACATTCCTGTTCCACGCTCATGTGGCGAGCCCTCTTGGACCGAGGAGCCAACGTCTGCATCCTTTGCAAGGATGTCAGGGTTATTCACCGTTACGGTCAATTTATTGATCTCAGTGGCATTGATGACCATACAGTTCAGAACCTCCAGCGTGCCACGGCAGCTGCTTACATCCTCACAGACCATGGTCCCCTCATTGGTCTGATACACCAAGGTGCTGCCATGTCTCATGGGAAAACCATTCTTTCCCCAGGTCAGTTGGAGCTTTTCGGGTGCCGTGTCCATAACAAGGCCCTGACTGTCACCGGGCTTGACACCTACTTTGTGACCCCCAACGGTTTCAGGGTGCCCATGGCCATCCAATCCGGGCTACCCTATGTCCAACTGCCGCCACCTACTGACCAGGAACTCAGTGACAGCAGTATCCCCCATGTGTACCTCACCAGCCCTCATATCCTGGGATTCCTCCTGTCTTGACTCTGCCCCTGCGGATGACTGGTTCTTTCAGCAGGACAACACCCTCTACGATGATGGGGATTTCCCACTGGACCCTCTTGGGCGCCTTCGAGTGTTTGATGACGACTTCGTTGACCACTCTGACCGCCAAAACCAGTCCATTGATCGTCGTGGCATTATGGAAGCCATGGCGCACATCATCTCAGACGAGATTGACCTTCCCCCTCTCACAGAACGGGCATCCCACGGTTATGACCCAGACTCCTCGGATGACAGTGACGGTTATGCTCCTGATCCTGATACTCCATGGCAATGCCATGTACAAACCCGGGCCAAACGCCGGCGCCGGCACTACCCCCCGCCCCACCCTTTGGCAGCCCCTTTGTCATCAGGTGCTGGGAGGATTGTTCAGGACCACCTTCAACACAAGCTAAGCCAAAGGTTAAGGCTGTATCGGACGACGCGGACATGGAACCACTTCTGTCCAACAACAAGGCCAACACCACACCGGTCCTTGAGTTCCCACCCAAGTCAAGAAGATCAAGACTCAGAGCACAGCCACACTCAGGAGGTTCTTCCCAGGAGTTGCCGATGAGACCATCAAGCGAACTCTCGATGCTACCACTCAGTATGGAACCAAGGGCGCCACTCAGGGAAGGACACTTAGAGGTCAGATCGTGTCTCCCAACCCCATCCTGAATATCCCAAGACGACACGAAGATGTAGCCACGGATACAATCTATAGCAGCACGCCGGCTATCGATGATGGGTCCACTGCAGCCCAACTTTTCATTGGCAGGACCTCCCACTACAGGACACTTCGCCCCGCTGGAAACTCCGATGCCAGTTATATCAGGAATCTGATGGATGAGATCAGAAAGCTTGGTGCCATGAACAGGATACAGTCCGACAATGCTAAGGCCCAGTGCAACCAGAGGGTCAAGGATATCTACAGGACCTTTTGCATCGACGACTGGCACTCTGAGGCCTACAAGGGGGGGGGGGGTGGGGGGGGGGGGGGGGGGGGGGGGGGCAGAACCAAAACTTTGCTGAGTTGGGCTGGAGGGATACGAAAG